GTAAACATGAGGAAATTAAATCTTCTCGAGTAAAAACAAATTCTGGCCACAAAATAGAGCGAAACCCAACGTAAAAGACCTGGGAGTGATCATGTCGGGGATCTCACCTTCAAGGACCATAACATTGTATCAATCGCATCTGCAAAAAAATGACAGGATGGATAATGAAAACCCTCAAAACTAGGAGGCCAAGCCCATGATGACACTCTTGGGTACTTGTTCTATCAGGCTGGAATATTCTGCCACTAACAGCACCTTTAAAGGGAGGGAAATTGCCACCTAAAAAGTCAGAGAACTTTCACGGCGCGCAAAAGGGAGATAAAAACCTCAATTAGGGAGCGCTTGAGGTTCCAAAACCTGTATTCCCTGGAAGCGGAGGGAAGATACATGATTTATACACCGGGAAATCCGGGGGACTGTCCCGAACTTGCCACGAAAATCACCCCTACAAAAGCAAAAGACTTGGAGACGATGCCCCACCCCCCCAATGAAAAGCGGGGGTGTCACTAGCACGTTAAGAACAGTACAATAAGTGTCGGGGGCCCGAGACTGTTCAACTGCCCCCCAGCACACATAAGGGGATTACCAACAGACCCCTGGCAGTTTTCAAGCGGCACGGGACAACACCTAAAGTCTTCCCCGGATCAGCCGGGCTGTGGCCGTATGTTGGTTTGCGTGCACCCAGCAGCAACAGCCTGGTTGATCAGGCTCTGATCCAGCAGGAGGCCTGGTCTCAGCCCGGGCCCGGGGGGGCGTTGCCCCCCCGGGGAACTCTCTCCAGGTAAACTCCGGTAAAAATAAAATTAATATATATTTTATTTAATATATATATAAAATATATATACAATATATAAATAATATAATATTATATATATATATTATATAATATATATATTTATATATTTTATAAGTATAAAAAATATAATTATATATATATATTAATGTATATATATTTTATAAAATGTTATTATAAAAATATAATTAATTATATAAATTAAATGTATATATATATATAGTAATATAAAATTTTTAAATTATAAAAAGTATAAAAATATTTAGTTATATATAAATTAAAATATATTTTTTAATAAAATTATATATTTTATAATATATATATAAATTTTATAAATACAATTTTTAATAAATATATACAATATAAATATAATAAAATAATATATATTATATTAAAATTATATTTTAAAAATATATACTTTAAAAATTTAAAAAATATAAATAATACATACAATATAAAAATATATATGTGAATAAAATATATATATATATATATATTTATATTATTAAATAATTATATATATTTGAAAATAAAAAGGGGGAGCCCTTGATTGAATTTTGTAAAAAAGGGGTTTAGTTATGGGAAAATAAAATTTTTTAAGAAAAAGGGGATAAATAAGTATACAAGATTGATGTGGGCAAAAATGACAGTAGTTTTTTTGGATTAGTATTGGTAGATAAAAGACTGTTTGGGAGACTTCAGGATGTACAAGTATAAGGGGGCCACAGATAAACGATCACTTTTTAGTTGTAGCTCACTGGAGTAAAAGGTAGATGGGGTACAAGGAGAATAAAGCTAAAAAAACCCAACCCCCGGCGGGATTGAACCCCCGGGCATAGTCTCAAAAATCCAGCCCCTCGCCCTTAGCGACGCACAGGAAAGAGAGGTGAAGGTTTAAAAACTAAAAGAGGAGGGAGTTTGGGTAAGATATAAACAACTATTGGAGGATAGATGGGCTAATGAGAGCATAGGCAATGGGGTCGAAGAGGTATGGGGTAGGTTTAAAGATGTAGTGTTAGTGTTCAGCAGAAGTTTGTGGTTACAGGAAGGTGGGTGCGGGAGGGAAGAGGAGCGATTGGTGGAATGATGATGTAAAGGGAGAAAAAGTTAGCATATGAGAAGTTTTTACAAAGTAGAAGTGATGCAAGGAGGGAAGAGTATATGGAGAAAAAGAGAGAGGTTAAGAGAGTGGTGAAGCAATGTAAAAAGAGAGCAAATGAGAGAGTGGGTGAGATGTTATCAACAAATTTTGTTTTAAATAAGAAAAAGTTTTGGAGTGAGATTAACAAGTTAAGGAGTGAGGAAGAGCCAGTTGTGAGTGTGGGGGAAGTTCGTGAGGCAGTAGGTAAAATGAAAGGGGGTAAGGCAGCCGGGAGTGATGGGATAAAGAGAGAAATGTTAAAAGCAGGTGGGGATATAGTTTTGGAGTGGTTGGTGCAATTATTTAATAAATGTATGGAAGAAGGTAAGGTACCTAGGGATTGGCAGAGAGCATGCATAGTTCCTTTGTATAAAGGCAAAGGGGACAAAAGAGAGTGCAAAAATTATAGGGAATAAGTCTGTTGAGTATACCTGGTAAAGTGTATGGTAGAGTTATTATTGAAAGAATTAAGAGTAAGACGGAGAATAGGATAACAGATGAACAAGGAGGCTTTAGGAAAGGTAGGGGGTGTGCGGACCAGGTGTTTACAGTGAAACACATAAGCGAACAGTATTTAGATAAGGCTAAAGAGGTCTTTGTGGCATTTATGGATTTGGAAAAGGCGTATGACAGGGTGGATAGGGGGGCAATGTGGCAGATGTTGCAGGTGTATGATGTAGGAGGTAGGTTACTGAGAGCAGTGAAGAGTTTTTACAAGGATAGTGAGGCTCAAGTTAGAGTATGTAGGAAAGAGGGCAATTATTTCCCAGTAAAAGTAGGCCTTAGACAAGGATGTGTGATGTCACCGTGGTTGTTTAATATATTTATAGATGGGGTTGTTAGAGAAGTAAATGCGAAGGTCTTGGCAAGAGGCGTGGAGTTAAAAGATAAAGAATCACACATAAAGTGGGAGTTGTCACAGTTGCTCTTTGCTGATGACACTGTGCTCTTGGGAGATTCTGAAGAGACGTTGCAGAGATTGGTGGATGAATTTGGTAGGGTATGCAAAAGAAGAAAATTAAAAGTGAGTACAGGAAAGAGTAAGGTTATGAGGATAACAAAAAGATTAGGTGATGAAAGATTGGATATCAGATTGGAGGGAGAGAGTATTGAGGAGGTGAATGTATTCAGATATTTGGGAGTGGACGTGTCAGCGGATGGGTCTATGAAAGATGAGGTGAATCATAGAATTGATGAGGGGAAAAGGGTGAGTGGTGCACTTAGGAGTCTGTGGAGACAAAGAACTTTGTCCTTGGAGGCAAAGAGGGGAATGTATGAGAGTATAGTTTTACCAACGCTCTTATATGGGTGTGAAGCATGGGTGATGAATGTTGCAGCGAGGAGAAGGCTGGAGGCAGTGGAGATGTCATGTCTGAGGGCAATGTGTGGTGTGAATATAATTCAGAGAATTCGTAGTTTGGAAGTTAGGAGGAGGTGCGGGATTACCAAAACTGTTGTCCAGAGGGCTGAGGAAGGGTTGTTGAGGTGGTTCGGACATGTTGAGAGAATGGAGCGAAACAGTGAGACTTCAAGAGTGTATCAGTCTGTAGTGGAAGGAAGGCGGGGTAGGGGTCGGCCTAGGAAAGGTTGGAGGGAGGGGGTAAAGGAGGTTTTGTGTGCGAGGGTCTTGGACTTCCAGCAGGCATGCGTGAGCATGTTTGATAGGAGTGAATGGAGACAAATGGTTTTTAATACTTGACGTGCTGTTGGAGTGTGAGCAAAGTAACATTTATGAAGGGGTTCAGGGAAACCGGCAGGCCGGACTTGAGTCCTGGAGATGAGAAGTACAGTGCCTGCACTCTGAAGGAGGGGTGTTAATGTTGCAGTTTAAAAACTGTAGTGTAAAGCACCCTTCTGGCAAGACAGTGATGGAGTGAATGATGGTGAAAGTTTTTCTTTTTCGGGCCACCCTGCCTTGGTGGGAATCGCCCAGTTTGATAATAATAATAATAATAATTATATATATATATATATATATATATATATATATATATATATATATATATATATATATATATATAAAGAAACCGGCCGTCTCCCACTGAGGTGACCCGAGAAACTAAGAAACACTTTCATCGTTACTCACTCCATCACCATCTTGCCAGAGGCACGCCAACATCACAGTACAGCGCTCCTTTCTAACTGCAGTATCTCTACCGTCTCCTTCAGAGTGCAGACACTGTAGTTTCAACCTCCAGGAGTCAAGTCCAGCTAACCGTTTCCCTGAACCCGTTTCATGAATGTTACCGTGCTTACACTCCAACAGTATGCCAAGTCATAAAAACCACTTGCCTTCACCCACACCTATGTAACACGTTTGTTTCACCAGAATCATATTACCCAGTAATTAATGACTGACTCCTTGTGACAGGTTGTTACCAATATTTTTAAAATTTGTTACATAACACACGACGGTAAGTAGAAGGAAATCAGATATGTTCCGTGGCAGTAAGGGCTGAATGATTTTTTTTTTTTTTTTGCCTAACCGTCAATTTTGAATACTTGTGTTCAATATATTATTTTTATCACTTCTTACCCTTTTTCATCTAGGATTATTTTTAATATTTTTTCGTAACTTTTGTATGTCTAGTCTATAATTTGTAGTATATGTTTCATTGCTTGTTGTGTTCAGACTGGCTCTGGTAAGACGTACACTATGGGCACGGGGCTAGAGATGGACAGCGGGGAGGACGTGGTGGGCATCATCCCTCGCGCCGTCGCCCATCTCTTCAGGGGCATCGATGAGCGCTTGGCTGCTGCCAAGGAGTCCGACACACCACCCCCTGACTTCAAGGTCACTGCTCACTTCATGGAGCTTTACAATGAGGATATCATAGACCTCTTCGAGCCTAATTTTAGGGTAAGTATCGACGTTTCCACTTTTCTTTATATAGTTAACATGCATTACAAGAAATGGTGTGACTGTAAATAAATTAAAAAATAACTAGTCAAGAGTGCAACCCATGACTTGCTGTGGTGCAATATTAAAAAAATACTACTATGGCTGATTTATTTATTTTTGTATGTTAAGTGGTTAATTACGTTTGAAGAGGTAAGCAACCCACTTGAGGTGGCTATTAAAGGAGCTATGATAATGCCACGAAGGTAAATGCAACTTCTCTGATAAACCCATCTTCAAAAAGAACGTTTTAAGTTCCTCGAGGAAATCTCAGATCGTCCGGGTTGCATTGTCTGTTAAACTGTAAGCAGTCAACCAGGATGCCTCGACAGAAACATTCTAAGGAAGTGGTAATACGTGAGAGCATAGCCTTTTAAGTTCTGCCTGGGTCACCTTGTTTGACAAGTTATAATTGTGATAGAACTTGGCAGATGTTACATATGATTGGTTATCATTTTATATAAGCGTAAGTAATGTTCCTCATAAGGAAAATCTGGTTGATAGCTGAATATTTTCAAAGCCAGATTTTATGCTTAAGGGGAGGCGAGAAATGGTCAGCAGTGATGCCGGTAGACTCGGAAAGCAGCTAGCTATTCAGACAGCGAGAGCTCGTATGTTAATAACAGCAGTGAACAGTCCATAATGCAGGACAGTGATACAAGGAAATTTAGTGAGCTAGTGATAAACAGTAAGCTAGTGTTACGACTTTCCACTTAGTATAGTGAGATTTATAGTAGCACTGAGCTGCACGCCTGTGGGACGACTGTAATTACTTATTGAACTATAATTTTCGTTTTTTGTTTTTACTTGCCTTGCACCAGGTCTCTCTCTATTGCAATATTTAGGTAGTTGCGGCTCGGAGAAAAAGAATATATTTTATTAATATTGAATGGGCACTACTTAATTTATTGTTAAAAGAAAATGAAGATATTGAAAGTTGACACGGAGGAAACAGAGGGAGACAGTTTGTAAGTGACACCTTCCTCATTCAGTGGTGACACTCAGTTGGTAGCAGGTGCGGTGCTGCATGGGTCATGCTATTGTTGTATGATCATTAACACGCATACTTTTGGTAGTGTCAGTACCCTACAAGGGTGACGGCGCGGGGGGGGGGGGGGGTGGAGGCTTTGATGCTAGTGAAGAGCCTTTAATCCAAGGAACTGGAGATATTTTTCCATTAATAAGAGCTCTGTTTTCTTGAGAGTAAGAGCTTAATTTTAAGAGAAATTCTAGAAGATTTAAGAAAGTGCAAAAAATTACAGAACAGTAACACCAACCTACTTCACAGAAGCCTTGAAAAGGGTGCTAAGACGCTAACTTATTGTTTTTATGGAAAAGCATGACTTACACAACCCAATTCAGTATTGATATATATTAGGAAGATCATGCTTGTCACAACTATTAAATCGTTTTAGCAAAATGAATAATGTTTTAAAAGATAACCAAAATGCAGATGTGGTCTACATGTATTTTTCAGATAGCAATAGGTATAACAGGAAAAGTAAATAAATGGATATTAAAATTTCTAACATATATTGTGGCAGTAAACATAAATTTCAGTGTCAGCAAAATGTTTATTACCCAAGGTACGCTCTGGCGGTTGATTCCAAAATAAGTATGAAAGTCGTCTCAGAAGATATAGAAAATTTACAATAAGATATGAGCAGTCTCCCACCATTCCCAATGAAAAATTACGTGATCGTCAATGGTGAGAAATTCAAGTAGCTTATGTATGGGAAGAATGAAGAAATCAAAACGAGCACAGTATACAGAACACAGACAATCTCATGGACCGTAAGAAACTGGTAAAAAAAATTGAATCAAAATGTTAGATTTGTGATTTAGAGAGCACAATAAAGCCATTGCAACAATGACAAGAAAAAATGACGAGGTGGATAATGGAAGCTTTCTTCACGAGAAATATCACTGATGATAGTATTCAAATCACTTGTGCCCTATTTAATACTGGTGTACCAAAGTATCGGTATATTTCGGTCAGTTTTGATGGTGTCAGTAAAAAATTTTTTTGTATCGTCCCATAACTATTATTTATTACAAATTAATGAAACAGAAACTCGTGACGACTGATGTTACATTTGGCGTCTCTTACAGGCCAGCACTGGAATGTCTTGTATATTTAAAAATTAAAAATGACGGATGCAGCTTGTATTAAGAGTTGCCTGATGAATAGCAAGTTCTATAAATGCATCATTAATATTATAGTAATTATCATTGTTCTAAATTCAGCATAAAAATTCTCCAGACCAGGATAAAGCATAATTTTGTTCTTGGTCATATATATTTAAGTATTCATTTTGAACACAAGGATTAAATATTGATACGATGCAGGTGATCAGCTTTAACTTTTCAATCTGTTGTTGATGATTAATGCTGTCGACAAAGACATTAAAGTGTTACGAGCAGCCAGTGTGTTCTCAAAGTCATAAGCATACATTAATTTGTGCTAGCACCATTGTAGCCAGCTGGCATCTCATCTTCGTTACTTCTCATGGCTTCTTCCCCAACCTTTATTGATAACCATTATTACAGAACCCACAATGAAATGCTTGTTGATATCTTCACCCTACTGAAGTATTCCAACTGAGAGGACACGCACGCACAAGAGACTGGGAGAAAAGCTAGAGGAGCAAGCAGGAATATCAGGAAAGGCACCAAAATGGATCAAGAATACTTAACAGGAAAGAAACCACGAATGATTCCCGAGAAGAGATTTCGGAATGGGTGCAAGTAACGAGTGGGGTTCCATAAGGCTTAATAATAGGACCTGTACTATTTCTTGTATACGTGAACAGAGTGGATAGTCAGAGGTATCTCTGTTCGTAGACGTAAAACTGATTAGGTTGTAAACAGACGAGGACCAGGAAATACTACAAATGAACTTGGACAGGCCGCAGATCTAATATAACAAGTGGCTACTAGAATTTAATCCCAGCAAGTGTAAAGTTGTGAAGATTGTGGAAAGACAACGAAGATCACAGACGGCTCCCGGGGGGGGGGGACGCAAAGACTGCAAAGATCACTCTAGTCCCGGAGCTAAGGGACATGTCCTGTGAAAAATGGATTAGGGAACTAAATCTATTGACATTAGAGTAATGGAGGATCAGGGGCGATATAATAACAGAATACTGAAAGGAACTGATAGGGTGGACAGGGGCAGATTGTTCGAGAAACGGGAAACAGGAACGCGAGGACACAGCTGGAAGTTGAAAACAGATGAGTCTCGGGGATGTTAGCCGCAAGATTCTCCGGCATAGCGAAGCATACAATTCCATTACTACCTACACCCGAGCAATGTCTCCATACTACTATTATTTATAAATTTCTCTCTCTGCGTAGTAATTCGCAGACTTTAGTGGACACGGTGAACGCTCATTTTTACTATCTTAATGTGAATACATTATTATTATAATCAAAAAAGAAGCGCTAATGTGAATACAGATAGTCACTAATTACTTAATAGGTTAGGTTTCATTAGTTAAGTCTGGATGAATTGGAGTTGGGTTAGATTGGGCTCAGTTAGTTTTGGAAAGGTTTGGCTACATTAGGCTAGTTTTGTGTGTGTGCGCTTGCTTGCTTGTTTCCAACGAATGGATGATTCAGGGAGGGAGGAGTCAGTTCCCAAGGAGGAATCACTTCCCAGGCAGGATGAGGCTGCGCGCGCGTGCGTTTATAAGCCACTGGAGGATGAAACAACTAGCTCAAGCCTTTTGCATGGTCGCCAGCACTTCATCAGGAACCAGATAATGTTGTAATAGGTTAATAAAATGAAAATTCTCAGTTTATGTGCTAGGCGCCCAATTTGCGCAAATTAAAAGTATCTTCATTACACTAATCGGTCAGTTTTATACTTTCCATGAATTTTTTCGCAAAACTCGATGCAGCCCTTAAACACAGTATTTATCAAAGATTAATTGCTAGAAATTTTTTGTTGTCTTGTAAAATGCATATAAAACTAGTGGGTCTGTTCTCGGTGTTGATGAATAAGTCACATGTGCAACACTTGGGCATCTTCATTATCGAAAATAAATATACCTGGGTGTCTTTTCAGCTTGTCGGTATTGTATACCATTTATAATGTTTTTTATGCCATTAGTATAACCCAGATAGATGTCCTAACTTGTTACACAAGAATACATGGGAACAAACGAACACTGCAGTAGGCCTATTGGCCCATGCCAGGCATGTCTAACTCACTAATGTACCACCCCATCATATATTTAAAACTACTCGGTGTTCTTGCGAGTTCATTCAACTTATCTACGACTCTGTTGCTAACCTCAGAGTCTTTATCCAGCCCATTACTATTTATAAACTAGATTTGCTTCAGTGGCTACACCGTGATCTGAGGAAGGAATCACAATCCCACCTTCCTGTATATCCACACACTCAAGACAATTACAGCTGTACCTCAAATTGCTCGAGAGAGCTGCTGCAGCTCGACTCATTCAAGAGACCTAGGAAGTACAATTAAACTCATAAATGTTCCGGATCTTCATTTTCAAGGGGCCCAGGAGCTTTGGCTCAATGTACTCAAGAAGCCTAATTTCGGTTGCCTGACACCATCAAAAAGACCTACCAGATTTCATATGAGCACAAAAAGGCCCAGGAGCTGGAACTCAGTCCATTCAAACTTTTAAAACAAAGATGAAACTAGGTAGGCGAGGTCCATAGAGTTTTTGTACCAAGTTTTAAGATATACAGTAGTTTGCAGGGGGGTTGTAGGTCTTACTCTCATATCTCAGAAACCAATTATGAAACTTTATTAAACTTGTGACAGTTGATTTCCTATACAAGATAATTCGCTAGAGCATAACATTTTAAAAATATATACTTTTCTTTCTTTCAACACACCGGCCGTATCCCACCGAGGCGGGGTGACCCAAAAGGAAAAACGAAAGTTTCTCCTTTTACATTTAGTAATATATACAGGAGAAGGGGTTACTAGCCCCTTGAAAAATATATACAGTACTATTAAAATATTGAATAGCCCTAATTGATGTTTGATTTTTTAATAAAACTGGGAAATTGGTATTTAAACAGTTCAATAACAAAGTGAATGTTCCTTTGAGCATTCCTTTGAAAAAATTTAAAGTGAACTTAGAAAAAAGCAAGTTAATGAGGGTAACAAAAAAATCTAGGCAATGATAGTTTGAATATCAGATTGGAGAGAGGGAATGTGGAGGAATTGGATGTTGTTGTGAGATATTCGAGAGTGGACATGTCAACAGATGAGTCTATGAAATACATACGAGGTAAACCATAGAATAGATGAGGGGAAGTAGGCGGGTAGTGTGTTGAGGCATCTGTGGACATCTAAGGAGGCCAAAGAAAAGGAAATGTACCGGGGTATAGTGGTTCTAACATTTATATGGTTGTGGACATTAGTTTGAATGTTCCAGCAAGGAGGCTATAGGAAGGGAAGATGTCAATATTTCAGAGCAATGTGTGTAGTGAATATCATGCATAGAATTAGGAGCATAGAAGTTAAAATGCTGTGTAGGGTCACCAAGGATACAGTCCAGAGGAATGAGGAGGGGTTCTTGAGGGAGTTTGGAAATATGGAGAGGGAGAGAATGATGGTGTATAAAGCTAGAGGTAGAAAGGTAATAGGGGTAGGGAGTCATCCCAGGAATGCTTGGAGGGAAGGGGTAAAGGAAGCTTTGAGTTTTAAGGGCTTAACCATCTAGCAGGCTTTTCCTGAGTGCGTCAGATAAAGTGAATGGTTTGTTAAGTAGATGTGCTGTTGTAGAGTTCATGAGGTAACTTTTATGAAGGGATTCAGGGAAACCAGTTAGTAAGACTCTAGTCCTGGAGGTGGAAAGTACAGTGCCTACACTCAGAAGGAGGGTTCGGAATGTTATAGTCGGAGAGTAACTCTGAATTGTGATGCCAGCACACATCTGGCAAGACATCGACTGAATGAGTGGTGGTGAATGTGTTTACTTCTTTGGGTCACCCTTCCTGGGCAGGTCAAATTGCTCTGGACATATTACAACTACTACTATTGCCCTTGGTGGGAGATGGCCACTAGGGTAAAAAAATATGTAGTTCCTGTACTCTATTGTAACTGATTACTCATATTTTTTACTGTATATTTTGTATACAAAAAGTATTTCCTACTTTGTGTGCAGGGAGGTGGCAAAAGTGGAATTCGCATACATGAAGATGCTGGAGGAGGGATATATGTAACTGGTATTAGCACCCGCTGCGTCACGTCTATGGAAGAAACAATGCAGTGTCTCCGTGCTGGTGCACTCTCAAGAACCACAGGCTCAACCAACATGAACACCCAGTCTTCTAGGTCACATGCCATATTTACACTTCTAGTCAAGCAGCAGAGAATTGCTCCTGTACAGGTTAGTTATTAAAGAGAATATTTGCATATTAAAGATTTCAGGTTCATCTTGCTACTTCTACTTACACTTAGGTCACACTATACACGCATGTACAAGCATATATATAATACACACATATATATAATACACACATATATATACTAGTTCTTGTTTATTTCCTCTTATCTCCATGGGGAAGTGGAACAGAATTCTTCCTCCATAAGTCATGTGTGTTGTAAGAGGTGACTAAGTGCCAGGAGCAAGGGGCTAGTAACCCCTTCTCCTATATACATTACTAAAGTTAAAAAGAGAAACTTTTGTTTGTCTTTTTTGGGTCACCCTGCTTTGGTGGGATGCAGCTGGTTTGTTAAAAGAATAATAATAATAATTAGCATATTGCTGTATGTATTTTTACATCTAGAACATTATATTTTGTAACATGCAAAAACCTATGTGAGTTACTTAGTGCAAGGAGCGGAGACTTCATTCTTCATCCCCTAGTCTTGAGAGAGATATGCTGCCTAACTGTATTCACGTATGTTTGAAAGATCATATAGAATCTCACATAGCTAGAATGTAAACAGGAATGGTAGGGACCACAACACTATGCCTTATTGTATTACCAGGCACTTAAGTAACTAGGTGTTAGGTATACAGTGATTTGATACACCAGTCTACCTATCAAAACACTGGCTTAAAATCTGCAAAAACATTATACTTTATTAAAAGGACACACAATTTTCAGAGATTTTTTGCATTGTACTTTATATAATGCTGAATCAAATTTTTTTTTTCATGGTTTGAATATATGTACACTATGATTTTCTGAAATTATTTTTTTTTTTTTTTTTTTTTTTTTCAACAAGTCGGCCGTCTCCCACCGAGGCAGGGTGACCCAAAAAAGAAAGAAAATCCCCAAAAAGAAAATACTTTCATCATCATTCAACACTTTCACCACACTCGCACATTATCACTGTTTTTGCAGAGGTGCTCAGAATACAACAGTCTAGAAGCATACACATATAAAGATACACAACATATCCCTCCAAACTGCCAATATCCCAAACCCCTCCTTTAAAGTGCAGGCATTGTACTTCCCATTTCCAGGACTCAAGTCCGACTATATGAAAATAACCGGTTTCCCTGAATCCCTTCACTAAATATTACCCTGCTCACACTCCAACAGATCGTAAATTTTCATATTTTGTTTGATGCTTTTTAATTTACATTAAGAATTTTTTAGCAGGATATTTGTACAAACTCTTGATCATTTCCAGGATGCTGAAAGCACTGACAGTATTCCAGAGTTTGAAACTTTAACAGCCAAATTTCACTTTGTTGACTTGGCTGGATCTGAGCGCCTGAAGAGAACAGGTGCCACCGGAGAGAGGGCTAGGGAGGGTATATCAATCAACTGTGGTCTTGTAAGTAATGTTTTGTATTGTGAATGTTTTGTTAAGAGTAGACAATTTAAAAAGTTAGAAGGCAGAAGCACGGATGTTGTGATGATTTGGAATTAAGAATTAATGGAGCAGTATTGCCTGTGTAAATGTCCAAATCTTGAGGGCAAGACCCTTCTTTGGGATTGAAATTTTTTTAATTGATCTACCCTTATGATTTTTTTATGCATATTGTTAATGATCCAGATAGTGTATCTTGGAATTTTTATGCATATTGACTGAAAAAATAAAAACAGGAAAAATAAAGATTGAAAAAAAAAAAAGTGTTTGATGTCTTTATAGCAATAAAGGATTAAAATGCTGTACAGCTTTCCATTTGGTGGTAGCTCAAGAACTTCTTGCTTAAAAAATTAAAAAAATATAGACATAAAAATTTTTTGAGGATCTCTCGGTATCATTTTGTAGTACAGATCAATATACTGTATATTGAACATATCCAAAAATCAAGTTATTTACTCAATAAATATTACACTTCAAAAGTTGTCTGCCATTGCTGAAAATAAGATCTCCCTAAATAATATCTATGCTGGAGGGTGGAGTTATCCAGGAACCACATGTGCTGCTGTTGCAACTTTGTCAACACATTTACACATGAGCTGCCACTGTATAAGGTTTATAATTCATGTATTTTAATTGATATGCCAAAAAATTAATAAATACATATGTATTCCTACTTATGCAAATATGTTATATGTCCAAATTTTCAGTATTGGAATAATGCACTTTGAATTGTCAGAATCAAGTGAGATGAAGACTCAGTTGTTGCTTACACTAGGTGAATTTTTAGACTATTTCTGAGATTTTATATTTTTTCAACTTTTTTTTTTTATGGCAGTTTCCAAAAAAGGACAAGCAAAAGAAGGTTGAAAAATAGGATGTTAACCCTTAAACTGTCCAAACAGATCTACGTTGACATGCGTAGTGCTCCAAGTGTAGATCTATGTTTTTTTACATATTTTGAAATATAACAAAAAAAATGTAGATCTGTTTTTTTACACGTTTTCAAATGTAAAAAAACAAAAAAAGGAGGTCTACATTTTTTTACATACTTTCAAATGTTGAAAAAACGTAGATCTACGTTTAGACAGTTTAAGGGTTAAATAGATACCGAGGTTGGAGCTTCATCTAGCAGACACATATGAGCATGTTTGGTGGTGAGGAAGAAAGGCAATCTCCCGGGAGGTATGAAGGTCATAAAAGGAAAGAAGGGTTCAGATGACTAAAACTATACAGTATATAACCACTTTGTATACAAAATAAAGCCATCAATAGATAGTGTAAATGTGTTAGTTGCTGAAATGCTTGCTAACTATTTGAACAATTATAACTTTTACAGCTGGCTTTAGGAAATGTAATTTCTGCATTGGGTGATGTCAGCAAGAGGGCATCCCATGTACCATATAGAGATTCCAAACTCACCCGACTTCTACAAGATTCTCTAGGAGGTGAGAAAATGTACCATCATCTTAGATTTAATGTTTTATGGATTAACATGAATATCAAATAAAAATTTACATTGCACTCTTGTTATAAGAATGCAATAGTCAGAAGAACACAGGCAGCACATTCATAAATGTCGAAGAATTATTCGGAAGGAAATGGGCGAATCATGGAAGATAATTAAATGTAGAGTAGTTAATTAGGCATATAGTATTTATATATTGTTATTTGATTTTTAATTATTTGTACATGGGGAAGTGGAACAGAATTCTTCCCCCATTAGCTATGCGTGTTGTAAGAGGTTACTAAAGTGCCGGGAGCAAGGGGCTAGTAGCCCCTTCTCCTGTATATATTACTAAATTTAAAAAGAGAAACTTTCATTTTTCTTTTTGGGCCACCCTATTTCAGTGGGATACAGTCAGTTTGTTGAAAGAAAGAAGATTCAAGTTTGTATAATTGTAGTATTAACTAATAGATTGAAGAAGCTTGTTATTGCCTGTCAGACCTTCATGTCTTGTTTCAGGTACAGGATGTTAAGACTTTCATCTCTCAATTCTAACATGATTTTCTTTTAACAGGTAATAGTAGAACACTTATGATAGCATGCATTTCTCCAAGTGATACGGACTTCATGGAAACCCTTAATACTTTAAAATATGCTAACCGTGCACGTAACATTAAAAATAGGGTAATGGTTAATCAAGACAAGGCCAGTAAGGCGATTGCCTTATTAAGGCAAGAAATTCAGGAACTTCGAATTGAATTGATGGAGTATAAGCAGGTAATGTAAAAAAAAATTTTGTTGAGTTTGCTCTGAGGTTATGTGTAATAATTCTCACGTAGCAATTACCTTATTGACTAGAAAAAGTAATGTAAGAATTATTTTTCTAGAGCTATATTATGGACATGGATTTTTGACACGGCTTTAAATCACGAGTATTTTGTCTATTAGCATTAAGTATAAAGATTGGTATTATAAAAATTATAACATCTTCAAGCTAATTAACTCCCTTCACTGTCTCCCATGTAGATTTATGCCATTAACACCAGCATCACTTTAGGTAGATCTATGTTTTAAGCACTGCTCCCTTAAATATGCTGTGAGCAGTAATTTTTTTCATAGACATGAGAGAATGGATCTGTGCAGTGACTGTACACAGTATAAAAAAAAAATCCTGCCCCACATGGTGCATGATGGGGAAAAAAAAAAAAAAAACTCTCACCTTGTGTTGGGTTTAAAATATGGTATATTGAATTCAGGGTGTTTTCTAGGGTGGTTATTTTAGTTTTTCTGACTGTTTCTTGGTATTAGTGATAAAATGAAAGAGATGCTAATGAAATAGAGATGAATTTGGCCTGTACACAGACTGGAAATACCTTGCAGTAGTGGTGGAAATATTTAATTTTTTGATGTAAGATGCCTTCTGGTCCCCCTTTTCCCATCTGTTTCATGGGATTTTACTAGATCTGCTTCAATTTTTGGGATGAACTAAATCAGGGGTCCCCCAGCTTGTGGCCCTTCTAGGAAATGGATGAAGTCTTCACATAAAATTATGAATTCACTTTTATGTAGGCTCCACATTGCAATGTCAACAAAACCATACAGCCTTCATCACACATTTGACCATCAAATGTGATCCACTTGTGTATGAAGGTTGAGGACCACTGACCAATCACTCTTGGTTATATTTTATTATCTGAGTAATGGGGTAAATCTTCAATTTTGTGTGATGAATTTAAAATGGAGGGGAAGTATTATACAGAAGAGTCCTAGGGATGTGATTAATGGTTGCTTTATTGGCTGGAATGCCTACAGTGTTTATTTTGGATTTTGTCTTTAAATTGGAATTTTATAATTGTGTAAATTGGCCAAATTACCAACTTCTGTGCACATTATAAAGTGCTTTTGATAGTTGAATGGGTGGTTTCTTGTACGCAATCAGTGGAATGGAAGGCATATTAGCAAAATAGCTAAGAATTTTGTCAATTTGAGCATTGGAATTAGCTTAAAATATAGTAGTGTGCAAATTAATTGGGTCTGGAGTAAATTCTATGATTATCTCATAATGTGTCTTAGTTTCTGGCTTAATTATTGTAGTTTGGGATATTTTCTTTTTAGAAGAGTTTGCTACCAACTTCTGGCAACCATCCCGCTCTGATGTTACCCTGTGACTCTCGTTAATGCTACAGTAGCTATTGTTCTGTAAGGCTATTCCTGCAAGCGTGCTCCATGAGTGAATGTGATTTTGTCAAACACTTACCTTCAATTCATGATTACTGTTGAAATTCATGATGGATGTTTCATCTAGGAAGCATACAAGTATTGTAAGTCTTAGAAAACATGCTGATTTAAGTATTAGACAGATCATCAAAAATTTGAACTTAGCAAAGTCAGCTGTTGGTCATATTCTGAAGAGAGCTGATGACACTGGTGATTGTCAAGCACTGCATTGAGGAAGATGTGAAAGAAAACACAGCACCTCACAATGACAAGGTATGACAAGGTTATCATAAGAAATAGTGTGAAGGATCCCAGAAAAACCAGCAAAGATCTACAGAGAGGGTTGGCTTCAGCTAGCGTAAATTTTGATTCTTCATTTGTTCAACGAAGGTTCCTTGAAGTTGGCGCAGAAAGCCAGTAAAGAAACTATTATTTACTGCTACTATGAAGAAAAAATGGCTGCAGTGGGCACTCGATCATCAGGGATGGATGACAGATGAATGGAGAAAAGTTAAATTTTCAGATGAAGTGCATTTTGAAGTACATGGGTACAGATCAGTGGTAGTGACGTGGAGCAAAGTGAACCTCATCGGAAGGGACACATTCAACAAGCACCAACACACCCACCTAAGATGATGTTCTGAGGTGGTTTTTACTGTTATAAGGCAATCCTGGCAACTCATTTGCTTCCCATTGTAGATAGAAACTTTCCTAATGGAGAAGGTCTTTTCTAGCAGGATTTTGCTACATGCCACACTTCCAGGAAAATACTGACATTCTTGAAAACTCTCCTGACCTCAACCCAGTTGAGAATTTATGGGCCATAACCAAATGCAGGATTACAAAAGAGGACTGTTCAACTGTGGAGAAGCTAATTGCTACTGTTATTAGGACTTATTACCACGATGAACAACTTGCCAAAATGTGTTCAACGTTGGTTGATTCTATGCCAAAGCATGTAGGAATACTTATAAAAGAAAAGGGGTGGTCTTCTCTGTTATTAAATCAGTTATCTATTATATATCATTGCCTTGTATTTTTCAGATAAACATTAATTTTCCAAAAACAGTGGTACCTTGACTTATGAGTGCCCCAACTTGCGAGTTTTCCGAGTTACGAGCAGTTGCTCGGTCGATTTTTTGCTTTGAGTTGCAGGCCAAAATCCGAGTTACGAGCAAGCTTCAGATACGCCGCCACTAATTGGCGGTGTATCTGAAGTCAAATTCAGCTCTGTACCCAGAGGAATGTCATCCCATCCCACATGTTCTTCCAAGACATAACTGGAAGGATAATACTCCCACACTAATCCCAGATTGTAGTGAGGAACCTCGTCCCTTTTTTGGTTCTCGTATGAATCTGGGGAAGAGGTAACCTCCATTTCAACCTTAGTTTTTTCCAGAAACATTAATAGAGGTGGGTGGAGTAGTCATGGTCATCGGTGGAGGAGTGATGGTGGTGGGTGGAGTAGTGAAGGTGGTGGGTGGAGTAGTGAAGGTGGTGGGTGGAGTATATAATATTTCTTATTTATAAATACATTTGTCTTGTTTAAAAACGTATAACAAAAAAATTGGGGTGGTTTTTTTGGGGGCTGGAATGGATTTATGGTATTTCAGTTAATTTCAGTGAGGAAAATTGATTTGATATATGAGCAAATTGAGTTATGAGCTGGGTCACGGAACGACTTCAACTCATAAGTCAAGGTACCACTGTAAATGTCATATTTTATTGCTAGCACACTCAGCTTACACGCTGAGGTCTGGGGTTCGAATCTCCTCCAGTACGGCTGGAAAACATTAGGGACGTATTTCCATATGACACCTGCTGTCCATATTTACCCATCAGTCTAAAATGGGTAGTTAGTCAACTGGTGTGGGTCGCATCCTGGGACAAAACTGACCTAATTTGCCCGAAACGCTCAGCATAACAAGGGGCTTTCTGTATAGTAGTATGTCATGGATGTCAGCTAGGCCATGTATATGTACTTGTAGTAAATAAAGATATTATTATTATCATTACTCTCCCAATTATATGCACACTGCTGTAGGATTCAAATGGGCAAAAGTGCTGATGTGTAAATGAGCCAAGACCATAATGTTTAACTTTTTTGAGTATCATTACCTTTAGAAAAGGATTCTCTACCACCTCAGAAGATAAAATTATTGTTATTTAAATCGAGATGCTGTTAGCACCTTTAATTTTGAGGGTTATGACAATGAATAGGCAAATACCTTTGTCTTAAAAATTTTACATTTTACAGGGTAAACGAATTGTTGGAGAAGATGGCTCAGAAGCTGTCAATGATATGTATCATGAAAACCAGATGCTTTCTTCAGAAATAAATAACATGCGTACTAGAATAAAGGCTTTGCAAGAAACAATTGAAGTGCTGACTGCTAAGAATATAATGCTTTTAGCAGAGAAGGAAACTAGTGGCTGGATTTCCTGTAAGTATAATATTTATTTTACTTTGGTTAAATAGGCTTATCATGCACCTGTTGTTTTTTTGCACAATATTTGTCAGTAGAAGAGAAGAAGAAAGAATGTAAAATATAAAAACTTTCAAAAGTATTTTACTTCAGGGGCTTAAAACATTCTGTAAAATGTGAAAAATAGTATGTTTTTATAGAAGATACATTATTGAAAAAACTAACTGCCTAATGAAGTGGAAATATTTGACACCAAACAAAAGAGCTTGATGGTGGTTGTGACAAGTAAATGCAATGAGAATGACTGACTAATAATGTACAATAACTAAGTTAACTGATTGCTTTATGATCAGAGACGTAATGAATCTATCCTTTTGTTGAATGACTGCAATATATAAAACTTTTTTTCACTGTATATAGGAAATAGCTTTTAACAATAATGTTCAGTTCACATGTTCTGTGTATAAAGAATTCTTCATTTTTTTTCTACTCTTCAAGCGGGTGAGGACTTGGACATGGCTGCAGTGGTGCAAGGATACCTCAAGGAGATTGAAGATCTTAGAGCCAAGTTATGTGAAAGTGAAAATCTCTGTCAGCAGCTGCGTAAACAAGTCAATAATAGGGCAAACACTGCTGGCAGGCTTTCAATGTCACCCTTACATATTCCAATGACTGGTGAGTTTTAATAGCTTATGTATGAAATGATTTGATTAAATCATGTAGTTCATGTCAGTTTTTTATGTATATGGATAATTTTTTTTAATACAGTAAATTGTAGTAGTGTATTTTCTTTTGGTGAACAAAATGAAAAGGAAGGCAAATACTCTTCAGTTTCAGAATCTTACGTTCTCTGACATCCTACTGTCTGAATCCATTAATTCTTGTGTGATCATAGTTTTCTCCATTGACTCTCGGTCACTGTTTTGTTTCTCTGTTGTGATTGAGAACCAATTCTTACGGAATTTTTCAGTCAGTCGATTGGAATAGTCTTCATGAAGTATAACTGTCAGGAATCTGTTTGGGGAATAGGTAGTCATAACAAACAATTTCCTCTACTTTAATTTTTCTTTTTGTATTAATTTTTTTTCTTGACAAACTTTCATGTAAATTTACAATGACATTACTGTATCTGTATTTTCTTTCATAGGATTCATACCAGCTTGAAAAAATATTCATGTACTTTTTTTTTTTTACTGTGGTATTTCTTGTCGTTTTATTTTTTCACTTCAAATTTATAATGGTAGGAGGGTGTATAAATCTGGGGTGAAAGTAAGGAGAGGTAGGGGGTTATCCTAGGAAAGGTTGGAGGAAAAGGGGTAAAGGAAGTTTTGAGTGTTAAGGGCTTGAACATACAATAGGCATGCGTGAGCATGTTAGATAGGAATGAGTAGGCAGGTTTTTTTATGATTTTACATGCTGTTGGAGAGTGAGCAAGGTAACACATATGAAGGGATTCAGGGAAACCGGACTTGAATTCTGGAGGTGGATTGTACAGTACCTGTACTCTGAAGGAGGGGTGGGGATATAGTTTGGAGGACCATCTGAACGTGACATTGGTGCCCTTCTGGCAAGACGATGAATGAGTGAGTGACAATGAAAGTTTTTTTCTTTTTTTGTCATGTCACCCTGCTTTGTTGGGAGGTGGTCATAGTTTTAAAAAAATAAAATTCCAGATACGAGTTAGCCTGAAATGAAAATAGCATAGTATGTTAGTGCAAAAAGAGTAAAATACAGTTTTTCATCTTAAACTGTTCATTACTTTAATACAATAAGAATGAATGTTTTTTTTTTTATGTAACAAGTCGGCCGTCTCCCACCGAGGCAGGGTGACCCAAAAAGAAAGAAAATCCCCAAAAAGAAAATACTTTCATCATCATTCAACACTGTCACCTCACTCACACATAATCACTGCTTTTGCAGAGGTGCTCAGAATACAACAGCTTAGAAGCATATACGTATAAAGATACACAACATATCCCTCCAAACTGCCAATATCCCAAGCCCCTCTCCTTTAAAGTGCAGGTATTGTACTTCCCATTTCCAGGACTCAAGTCCGGCTATATAAAAATAGCCGGTTTCCCTGAATCCCTTCACTAAATATTAGCCTGCTCACACTCCAACAGCTCGTCAGGTCCCAAATACCATTCGTCTCCACTCACTCCTATCTAACACGCTCACACACGCTTGCTGGAAGTCCAAGCCCCTCGCCCACAAAACCTCCTTTACCCCCTCCCTCCAACCTTTTCGAGGACAACCCCTACCCCGCCTTCCTTTCCCTACAGATTTATACGCTCTCCATGTCATTCTACTTTGATCCATTCTCTCTAAATGATCAAACCATCAAAACAACCCCTCTTCAGCCCTCTGACTAATACTTTTATTAACTCCACACCTTCTCCTAATTTCCACACTCCAAATTTTCTGCAAAATATTTACACACATTGCCCTTAGACAGGACATCTCCACTGCCTCCAACCACCTCCTCACTACAGCATTTACAACCTAAGTTTCTTGCCCATATAAGAGTGTTGGTACTACTATACTTTCATACATTCCCTTCTTTGCCTCCATAGATAATGTTTTTTGTCTCCACATATACCTCAACGCACCACTCACCTTTTTTTCCTTCATCAATTCTATGATTAACCTCATCCTTCATAAATCCATCCGCTGGCACATCAACTCCCAAATATCTGAAAACATTCACTTCTTCCATACTCCTCCTCCTCAATTTGGTATCCAATTTTTCTTTATCTAAATCATTGGAAGAATGAAAATGTCCTGTATTTATTTTAGGCTCTAAATGTTTCATGTTCCAAGGTTACAGAATAATTGAGTAAACTGACTTAGTGAGTGCGCCATGTTGTGTTCAGACATCGTCACCACAGAAATAAGTGTTTCTCAAGAATGTCATATATAACCAGTCAGTCTTGTATGTTTCAGGAGTTAGTGTATTCTGTCTCAGTCCCCAGACTGTCTGTCCAGAAATGTAATGTAAGAGTAAGCGAGAATTTATACAACTACACATAATTGCCAAGAGGGAAATGTTAAGGATTTAACAGGTTAATACTGCTTTGTGAAAGAGTATTTTGGTTTCAGATGAAAAGGAAAATATTTTGCTTCACTTGTATACCTTTTTTTTTTTTTTTTTTTTTTTTTTTCTCTCAACAAGTCGGTCGTCTCCCACCGAGGCAGGGTGACCCAAAAAAAAGAAAGAAAATCCCCAAAAAGAAAATACTTTCATCATCATTCAACACTTTCACCACACTCACACATTATCACTGCTTTTGCAGAGGTGCTCAGAATACAACAGTTTAGAAGCATATACGTATAGAGATACACAACATATATCCCTCCAAACTGCCAATATCCCAAACCCCTCCTTTAAAGTGCAGGCATTGTACTTCCCATTTCCAGGACTCAAGTCTGACTATATGAAAATAACCGGTTTCCCTGAATCCCTTCACTAAATATTACCCTGCTCACACTCCAACAGATCGTCAGGTCCCAAGTATCATTCGTCTCCATTCACTCCTATCTAACACGCTCATGCACGCTTGCTGGAAGTCCAAGCCCCTCACCCACAAAACCTCCTTTACCCCCTCTTTCCAACCCTTTTGAGGACGACCCTACCCCTCTTTCCTTCCCCTATAGATTTATATGCTTTCCATGTCATTCTACTTTGATCCATTCTCTCTAAATGACCAAACCACCTCAACAACCCCTCTTCTGCTTAGTATACCTACTAAGGCATAAACCCTATTGTCTTGCAAATTCTGGGCCTTGATTGTTCAACTTTATTTTCTATGAGAAATAAAAACATAGACTAAATATTAGTTCTTCAGTTTCACATATATTCATATGGAAAAATCATATCTGGTCACATATTGTAGGTTCCATGTTTGGTTGTATGGAGGAAAGTACTCAGAGCTTCACAGAACTAATTGAAGAGGCCAAACGTGACTTGAACAAAGATCTTCAGGCCATGGAGAGGAAGAAAAGGATATCGGAAGGATCTGGATCAGCTGATGATGATGAGGATAATGAGGATGAAGAAGGTGATGCAGAGGAGAATGAGGAGGATGTAGAAAGTTCTGATGAAAGTGGGGAGGATAAAGGTATGTAAGAGAGAGGTACTTTGATATGAGTATTGTTATCACTACATGCAAGGGAAAGGATTACATTGGATGCCAATGTATTATCATAGTCATTCATTCTTTCAAAGATGAACATGATAAGTAATGCTGTTCATCCTAAACTGGAAACTTCTATTGTCTTATCACCATTTGCATCCTTTTGCTGAAAACTTCTTGATTGCTTTTAAGATGGGTTTAATACATGTTGTGTAAAACATTTTTAGCTTAGTTTAGCTATCATAAAGTTAGTTATTGTTGCATGTAAATCTCTTCGAAGTGAATTTATTGTTCTTATGGTGATAACTTTTTGGTTATAATTATTCATCTTTCTCTTTTTCAGTCAAATTCCAATTGATCATTGAAGTATGATACCTCATATTTAAGTTGTTGTTTTTTCTTAATATAGTACACATTGGAATTTCATATTTGTTACTAATATATTTGCTCTTCTGAATCTATTTCATGTCATAAGCCTTAATATTCTGTACAGTAATATCTACAAATTTGCAGTGTCTTACATGATACTCCTCAAATCACCTTGGTCTCCTGATTCCCAGTTCCTCCTCTTTTTTGTTGATCTTTAACTGGCTGTATCATGATTGACCTTTTGTCATCCAGGGTGCCCATACCTTGATTCTTTTGTGTGTGGTGAGAAGGGGGTAGTGGATAGAGGGGACTTCAGACTGTCAGTTTAGTTGAAAGATTGATGTATATTCTATGATGCACATTGTGTTAATATTTCTAACTGCACATTATTGCAGCAATTTACTGCAGTAGTCCTAACATCCATTTGTATTTTGTTTCTTGTGCTGCTTTTAAGATGATGATGAGGATTCTGATATGGAAGAGGAAACAGGTAGGAAAAAATGGAAAATCTTGTTTTGCCACAAAGTAAAAAGAGCTCAGTAGTTCTTTGGAATTAGATAATATTGTCATACCGCAGCGACTACCTGCTTCCAACCACATTACTGTCATATGTGTAACTACTTTTGTTTTAGTTATAATGAACTGATTAATTTTCTTACTCTGGTAGTTTCATATTTTTTACAGTTGGTGGAGAATTTCATTATACAAGAATATGTTATCGTTAGTCTGTCGCAGTTTCATTAAGCTTCATGTTTCAAGTTTTATTAGCTGTATTTCTCTTAAATACAGAGTGCCTTTCCATCTAGTCTTAATAGATTTAGGTTTAATAATAATGTAATTTTATTACTGTACAACTACTTCTGTTAATAACTATTATATAAGTTAGTTAAAATATTTCATTGTGATGTTTTATGTGGACAGAGAACTATAATGAGGAGCTGGCAGATTTGACAAGTGAAATATCCATAAAACAGAAACTAATTGAAGGTTTGGAACAGAGTCAACGCCGCCTTGAAACCATGAGGCAACAATATGAGGATAAACTCAATGTTTTAATGAACAAAATAAGAGCAACACAAGATGAGAGGGACAAGGTATGTTTCATACATGTCAAATGAATTTTACTAGTTTGTAAGTAACTCTGAAGGATCTTAACTTTGTACAATACTGTATAGTATTTGTATGAAAATTATTTTGTAAGAAATAAACTAATTAGATTTATGATTCAGGTAATTGCCAACATCAAATCCAGTAGTTCTGCTGGTGATGATAAAGTCAAGTCAGTGAAGCAGGAATACGAAAGAAAAATAAACAATATGCAACAAGAACTGAAAAAATTACAAGCAGCACAAAAAGAACATTCCAAACTGATGAAGGAACGCTCGCAGCACGAGAGGCAGCTGCGTATCCTTAAGAATGATTTAGCAGAAATGAAGAAAACCAAAGTTAGGGTAAGGGAAATAATTTTTACAAATATTTCTTTAGATTCTATCACTAGTGCAGATTGGACATGATTAAGCCTTTCATTGGTTTCTTTTCTCATCTGACCACTCTGGTTTCTGGATAATGTCTTTAGAGCTGTTCTTCTCAGATTTCAAACCTTATCAGTAAAGTAAAATTTATTTTCCATAAAACATAATATTACATTATATTCTGGTCTGTCATCATGAAAAAACCCATTGTTATGCAATGCATTTCAGAAAGACTTAAGATTAATCATGCCCTTAAGTTTATATATGTATATTATATAAATTCTCAGTGATTTAATTAAGTTATGAAAGTAAGAAATTTAAGTGCAGTGATCATTCTGACTAATAACTCATGGTTCTTACAACAGACATAGTGGTAAGAAATTTAAATACAGATAAAAACAGTACTAATATAGCAAGACATATTTGTGCCACACATTTTTTCATCCAGTTCCATCTCTCCTATAAATTCTATGCCATTTTTCCAACATTGTATGATGTATGTCTACCCCTTTTTTCATGTTGAGTAGCTGGAGGGTGGGGAAAGAGCCTCATGCTTTTTCTATATTTAACTTGCACCTAGATAATACAGGATAGGCCCTAGTCTAGTGTTTTTTTTTGGGGGGGAAACATGCTAGCCACCTTCCACCAAGGCAGGGTGTCCCAAAAAGAAAGAAAAAGGTTTCATCATCATCATTCATTGAAATAGATAATTCCTCTCAACAGATAGCTCCAGTTTGGACTTGCCAGTTTTCTGCTATCTGTCTTTCCTATGTACAGTACTCCCATTTCTCATGAGGGTACGGCAACACAAAAATTAAAACACATTCACCATCACTCATTCACTAGCTGTCTTGCCAGAGTACTCAGACACCACACTACAAATGACTCTTTGAACTGCATGATTTCTGCATTTATATTTTCGTAATGTGGAATTTTACTAAATTTAGTATGTACTGTGCTTTATACATACATTGTCTAGTGCAAGATAGTGTACTAGATAGTCACAATTAAAATTGCAGGCCCAGTAAGCTTTTCAATATTTTTTTGTAATTATAGGTGTATACACTTCTGTATGCATTTTAGTTCATATATTTTATTTTTTGCATGAGATTTAAAAACTTACAATACTTGTGGATGTTCATAATACTGAACTGCTTTATTGCAATTGGATTATGTGTTCTTTGCATACTTTGCGAGGAGTGGAGCTTTGTTAATAATTACACAATGTAAGGAGTGTGTGCGGGAGGGAAGAGGAGCGATTGGTGAAATGATGATGTAAAGAGAGTAGTAAGGGAGAAAAAGTTAGCATATGAGAAGTTTTTACAAAGTAGAAGTGATGCAAGGAGGGAAGAGTATATGGAGAAAAAGAGAGAGGTTAAGAGAGTGGTGAAGCAATGTAAAGAGAGAGCAAATGAGAGAGTGGGTGAGATGTTATCAACAAATTTTGTTGAAAATAAGAAAAAGTTTTGGAGTGAAATTAACAAGTTAAGGAAGCCTAGAGAAATAATGGATTTGTCAGTTAAAAATAGGAGAGGAGAGTTATTAAATGGAGAGTTAGAGGTATTGGGAAGATGGAGGGAATATTTCGAGGAATTGTTAAACGTTGATGAAGATAGGGAAGCTGTGATTTCGTGTATAGGGCAAGGAGGAATAACATCTTGTAGGTGTGAGGAAGAGCCAGTTGTGAGTGTGGGGGAGGTTCATGAGGCAGTAGGTAAAATGAAAGGGGGTAAGGCAGCCAGGATTGATGGGATAAAGATAGAAATGTTAAAAGCAGGTGGGGATGTAGTTTTGGAGTGGTTGGTGCAATTATTTAATAAATGTATGGAAGAGGGTAAGGTACCTAGGGATTGACAGAGAGCATGCATAGTTCCTTTGTATAAAGGCAAAGGGGACAAAAGAGAGTGCAAAAATTATAGGGGAATAAGTCTGTTGAGTATACCTGGTAAAGTGTATGGTAGAGTTATTATTGAAAGAATTAAGAGTAAGACGGAGAATAGGATAACAGATGAACAAGGAGGCTTTAGGAAAGGTAGGGGGTGTGTGGACCAGGTGTTTACAGTGAAACACATAAGTGAACAGTATTTAGATAAGGCTAAAGAGGTCTTTGTGGCATTTATGGATTTGGAAAAGGCATATGACAGGGTGGATAGGGGGGCAATGTGGCAGATGTTGCAGGTGTATGGTGTAGGAGGTAGGTTACTGAAAGCAGTGAAGAGTTTTTACGAGGATAGTGAGGCTCAAGTTAAAGTATGTAGGAAAGAGGGAAATTATTTCCCAGTAAAAGTAGGCCTCAGACAAGGATGTGTGATGTCACCATGGTTGTTTAATATATTTATAGATGGGGTTGTAAGAGAAGTAAATGCGAGGGTATTGGCAAGAGGCGTGGAGTTAAAAGATAAAGAATCACACAGTTGTCACAGTTGCTCTTTGCTGATGACACTGTGCTCTTGGGAGATTCTGAAGAGAAGTTGCAGAGATTGGTGGATGAATTTGGTAGGGTATGCAAAAGAAGAAAATTAAAAGTGAATACAGGAAAGAGTAAGGTTATGAGGATAACAAAAAGATTAGGTGATGAAAGATTGGATATCAGATTGGAGGGGGAGAGTATGGAGGAGGTGAATGTATTCAGATATTTGGGAGTGGACGTGTCAGTGGATGGGTCTATGAAAGATGATGTGAATCATAGAATTGATGAGGGGAAAAGGGTGAGTGGTGCACTTAGGAGTCTGTGGAGACAAAGAACTTTGTCCTTGGAGGCAAAGAGGGGAATGTATGAGAGTATAGTTTTACCAACGCTCTTATATGGGTGTGAAGCATGGGTGATGAATGTTGCAGCGAGGAGAAGGCTGGAGGCAGTGGAGATGTCATGTCTGAGGGCAATGTGTGGTGTGAATATAATGCAGAGAATTCGTAGTTTGGAAGTTAGGAGGAGGTGCGGGATTACCAAAACTGTTGTCCAGAGGGCTGAGGAAGGGTTATTGAGGTGGTTCGGACATGTAGAGAGAATGGAGCGAAACAGAATGACTTCAAGAGTGTATCAATCTGTAGTGGAAGGAAGGCGGGGTAGGGGTCGGCCTAGGAAAGGTTGGAGGGAGGGGGTAAAGGAGGTTTTGTGTGTGAGGGGCTTGGACTTCCAGCAGGCATGCATGAGCATGTTTGATAGGAGTGAATGGAGACAAATGGTTTTTAATACTTGACGTGCTGTTGGAGTGTGAGCAAAGTAACATTTATGAAGGGGTTCAGGGAAACCGGCAGGCCGGACTTGAGTCCTGGAGATGGGAAGTACAGTGCCTGCACTCTGAAGGAGGGGTGTTAATGTTGCAGTTTAAAAACTGTAGTGTAAAGCACCCTTCTGGCAAGACAGTGATGGAGTGAATGATGGTGAAAGTTTTTCTTTTTCGGGCCACCCTGCCTTGGTGGGAATCGGCCAGTGTGATAAAAAAAAAAAAAAAAAAAAAAAAGAAGAGGAGTGTTTTTTGCCATTCATAATACAATACAGCCTCTCCTCACTTAACAATGGAGTTGCATTCCTAAGACCATGTCGGTAATTGAAGTCAACGTTAATTGAGGAGCATACTATAATGGTGTAAAGTAAAAGGACACAAGTGCAACTAATGTGACATTTTATTGTGGTAACGTTTCGCTCTCCAGGAGCTTTGTCAAGCTGTATCGGCTTGACAAAGCTCCTGGAGAGCGAAACATTGCCACAAAATGTCACATTAGTTGCACTTGTGTCCTTTTACTTTACATATTGTCGGTAATTCTACCAACATTATTACTATAATGGTAGTGGGTTTGTGTTGCCTATCTTTGATATTGTTTTAATGTCACCTTTGCACCATTTATAAAATTTCTGGTATATTTTTAAATGTTTATACAGTAGTGTACCGTACATTGTAATAAACAGAATAGAGGAAAGAAGCTCTAATATACATTTAGGTATGCATGTTGGTCAGAGAACCCATCGTAAGTCCGAGTCGTCAGTAAAAAAGTACGTTGCTAAGTGAGGAGAGGCTGTTTTTACAAGTTTTTACAAAGTAGAAGTGATGCAAGGAGGGAAGAGTATATGGAGAAAAAGAGAGAAGTTAAGAGAGTGGTGAAGCAATGTAAAAAGAGAGCAAATGAGAGAGTGGGTGAGATGTTATCAACAAATTTCGTTGAAAATAAGAAAAAGTTTTGGAGTGAGATTAACAAGTTAAGAAAGCCTAGAGAACAAATGGATTTGTCAGTTAAAAATAGGAGAGGAGAGTTATTAAATGGAGAGTTAGAGGTATTGGGAAGATGGAAGGAATATTTTGAGGAATTGTTAAATGTTGATGAAGATAGGGAAGCTGTGATTTCGTGTATAGGGCAAGGAGGAATAACATCTTGTAGGAGTGAGGAAGAGCCAGTTTGTGAGTGTGGGGGAAGTTCGTGAGGCAGTAGGTAAAATGAAAGGGGGTAAGGCAGCCGGGATTGATGGGATAAAGATAGAAATGTTAAAAGCAGGTGGGGATATAGTTTTGGAGTGGTTGGTGCAATTATTTAATAAATGTATGGAAGAGGGTAAGGTACCTAGGGATTGGCAGAGAGCATGCATAGTTCCTTTGTATAAAGGCAAAGGGGATAAAAGAGAGTGCAAAATTATAGGGGGATAAGTCTGTTGAGTGTACCTGGTAAAGTGTATGGTAGAGTTTAATTGAAAGAATTAAGAGTAAGACGGAGAAATAGGATAGCAGATGAACAAGGAGGCTTTAGGAAAGGTAGGGGTGTGTGGACCAGGTGTTTACAGTGAAACATATAAGTGAACAGTATTTAGATAAGGCTAAAGAGGTCTTTGTGGCATTTATGGATTTGGAAAAGGCGTATGACAGGGTGGATAGGGGGCAATGTGGCAGATGTTGCAAGTGTATGGTGTAGGAGGTAGGTTACTGAAAGCAGTGAAGAGTTTTTACGAGGATAGTGAGGCTCAAGTTAGAGTATGTAGGAAAGAGGGAAATTTTTTCCCAGTAAAAGTAGGCCTTAGACAAGGATGTGTGATGTCACCAGGGTTTTGTTTAATATATTTATAGATGAGGTTGTAAAAGAAGTAAATGTAGGGTGTTGAGGAGAGGGGTGGGATTAAATTATGGGGAATCAAATACAAAATAGGAGTTGACACAGTTACTTTTTGCTGATGATACTGTGCATATAGGAGATTCTAAAGAAAAGTTGCAAAGGTTTGGGAGGGAGTGTAAAGGTAGAAAGTTGAAAGTGAACATAGATAAGAGCAAGGTGATGAGGGTATCAAATGATTTAGATAAAGAAAAATTGGATATCAAATTGGGGAGGAGGAGTATGGAAGAAGTGAATGTTTTCAGAGACAGTGGACCCCCGGTTTACGATATTATTTCATTCCAGAAGTATGTTCAGGTGCCATTACTGAACGAATTTGCTCCCATAAGGAATATTGTGAATTAGATTAGTCCTTTCACCCCAACATACACGTAAACGCACTTACATAAATACACTTACATATTTGGTTGCATTGGGAGCTGATCATAAACCGGGGGTCCACTGTACTTGGGAGTTGACATGTCGGTGGATGGATTTATGAAGGATGAGGTTAATCATAGAATTGATGAGGGAAAAAAGATGAGTGGTGCATTGAGGTATCTGTGGAGACAAAAAATGTTATCTATGGAGGCAAAGAAGGGAATGTATAAAAGTATAGTGGTACCAACACACTTATATGGGTGTGAAGCTTGGATTACAAATGCTGCAGTGAGGAGGCGGCTGGAGGCAGTGGAGATGTCCTGTCTAAGGGCAGTATGTGGTGTAAATATTATGCAGAGAATATGGAGTGTGGAAATTAGGAGGAGGTGTGGAGTTACTAAAAGTACTGTATTAGTCAAGGGGGCTGAAGAGGGGTTGTTGAGGTAGTTTGGTCATTTAGAAAGAATGGATCAAAGTAGAATGACTTGGAGAGTGTATAAATCTGTAGGGAAAGGAAGGTGGGGTAGGGGTTGTCCTCAAAAAGGTTGGAGGGAGGGGGTAAAAGAGGTTTTGTGGGCGAGGGGCTTGGACTTCCACAAAGCAGGTGTGAGCGTGTTTGATAGGAGTGAGTGGAGGTGATTGATTTTTGGGACCTGATGAGCTGTTGGAGTGTAAGCAGGGCAATATTTAGTGAAGGGATTCAGGGAAACCAGGTATTTTTATATAGCCAGACTTGAGTACTGGAAATGGGGAGTACAATGCCTGCGCTTTAAAGGAGGGGTTTGGGATATTGGCAGTTTGGAGGGATATGTTATTTATCTTTATATATGCTTCTAAACTGTTGTATCTGGGTGTCTCTGCAAAGACAGTGATTATGTGTGAGTGAGGTGAAAGTGTTGGGGATTTTCTTTCTTTTTTGGTCACCCTGCCTCGGTGGGAGACGGCCAACTTGTTGGAAAAAAATTAAATACTGTATCATTGAAGGAAACGTTCAGAATTTTTTTACACCTGCTGTTTCTTACTAAGATAGGATAAGATAAGATAAGATTTCGTTCGGATTTTTAACCCCGGAGGGTTAGCCACCCAGGATAACCCAAGAAAGTCAGTGCGTCATCGAGGACTGTCTAACTTATTTCCATTGGGGTCCTTAATCTTGTCCCCCAGGATGCGACCCACACCAGTCGACTAACACCCAGGTACCTATTTGCTGCTAGGTGAACAGGACAACAGGTGTAAGGAAACGTGTCGAAATGTTTCCACCCGCCGGGAATCGAACCCGGGCCCTCCGTGTGTGAAGCGGGAGCTTTAGCCACCAGGCCACCGGGCCACCACAGGATGATCAAGAGAAGTCATTTTTTTAACACACTGGTCATCTCTCACTGAGGCAGGGTGACCCATCATTCATGTATAATCACTGTCTTCGCAGAGGACGTGCAGATATGACAGCTCAGATGTCACTCCAAACAGTAAATATCCCAGACCCAAACTCCAATACTCATTTTCTTTTTGTCTTAATAGAAGGGTATGAACATTGCAATTCAGATAATCAGAACATCACAAGATTGGGTGACTGAATGAAGGAACATCGCAAAACAGTTTTTTTTTTTCAACACCCTGATCGTCTTCTGCAGAGGCAGGGTGACCCAAAAAATAAAGAAACACTTTCACTATCATTCAACACTTTCGCAGAGGTACCCAGACCAGTATGCGTGGAAAGTTATGATCCTCAGCTGACAGTGTTTGGTTTTCTGCTTCGTGGCTGCTCCATAGGTAAAGCAGCCATGAAGCAAAAAAAAAAAAAAAGTCCTCTTCTAACATTATTATCCACTCTTGAAGTTGCATAGCAAAACTCGCAGTTGGTGCACAAGTTATTCCCACGATTTCTAGAGAGTCCATACTTCTGCCATGTGTTGCAATGATGAAAAGTTTGCCCTGCAGCTGACATCATAACTTTCCATGCAGTCTGGTGTATACAGTACAGTACTGTATATAGATTTATCAATTTCTTTCTCTTCAGCTTATGAATAAAATGAAGGATGATAACAGTAAAGCTAAACAAGAAGAACTTAAGAAGAACAAGGAGATTGCTCAGCTCCGTAAGGCTTCTCGTAAACAAGAAACATACATAAAAAGCCTGGAAGCTGAGAATAGATTAAAAAATGTTGTATTAAAACGTAAAACGGAAGAGCTTGCTGTGCTAAAGAAAGTCCCAAGGCAAGGATTGAGTATGAAGGCATCAGGAAGACTAAGAAAAAGTAAGTCAGTTTATTATTATATTTGGTACAGTAATTCATTGTTATACACTATTTACATTTTTTCTCGTCTATCTCGTATCTACATTGATAGGTCTTATTGCATTAAGTTATTAGTGATATAGGATGAGACTTTTTATTTATTTGACCAGATTGTCTTTCAACGTGTCATTTATCCTATGATTTTATTTTTTACATCAGTTGTATTATTTTGTGGAGGTTGAAAATTGCATCTTCCAATGAATTTGTAAAAAAAAAAAAAAAAAAAAAAAAATTAAGGAAACTTGTAGATCTTATTTCCTTGTACAGAAGCTGGTATAGGACTGCAATCAACATCATTTTCTCCAAAGGTGGCAAAGCAAAAGTGGCAGAACTTGGAACAAACTATTAATAAAGTGGCATATAACAAGCAAACTGTCAGTAGTATGGAACGGGACATGGAAAGGTAATAGTATTATAATTATAAATAAATTTAAGACTTTTTTTTATATGTAAAATCAAGCATAACTCTTATTAATCTACTCTGTAATTAAAACTAAAGATTATTCCTCATATGGTGTATAGATAAACCCAACAAAGTATGGAAGTTGCTAAGAGAAAATTTATAGGGCAAGCAAAGTAGGGAAGTGACTTTTATAAGTATCTTCCTAAATGTTTTCACCGGCTGAATTATTACTATATGATCTTTTTAAAATTTTTTAGTTTTCAAGTATTTTTGTATTCTTTTTCATAAATTTCCTGTTAGCCTGGCTTCCTTTTCCATTAGCCTTCTATATGGACATTATAGAAATCTTTCTCAGAGTCTAAAAATAAATCTGCTCATCCTTCTTTCCTGTTTGGCCTCAGTTAGTGTGTCTTATTTCTATAAGGTTTGTAAGGCATGACTTTGTTTCTAATTGGTATTGATTGTTCATGAGTAATATAGTAGTTTCTAGAGCTTCCTGCTCCTCTTTTGATATTGGTAGGATGGTTACTATATGTGTTGTCTGGCACTTCAATAGTCAATAACAATCTGCTAAAACACTGAATGGTAGCATTTCAGCTCCTTTTAAGTATTCACAGTGATATTTCATTGGGTTTTGATACCTTTGATGTGTATCGAGAATTTGTTTCCTCATTAGTCATTTCATATTTGATAGTTTCACATGAATGTCCTCTCAGCTGTCTTTTTTATGGGCTTTTGCACATTTGAAAACACATTCTGTTAAGCTCATTGTGTACTTCCTGTTATTTCCCATGTGTAATACTCCTTTCCTTAGTGTTCTTACATGATTGCTTTTCATGACTTTTCTTCTGATATGGTATTGATTTAGATTTGGTTGTCTTTTGCTAGATATTTTTTTTTAACCACAGTTGTCCACTTCCAACCAAGGTAGGGTGACTCACAGACAAAAGTACACTAAACCATTATTCATTCAGTGGCTCTCTTGGCAGAAGTGAATGAACATCACATTTCAAATAACCTTCCCAGTTGCAAAATCTCCATCTATCCTCCAGGGTGCAGGCAAATGTACCTCTGACCACCAAAACTCAGGACTTTTGTATATTAAAAAGAATTCCCTGCTTACCTAAGATATATATGGCTTGTTGCTAGCTCCCCTGTAGTTCATTGTGCATCTCTTCATGCTCTTTTGTTCCTGCCTTCCCCCCCCCCCCCCCCCATCCTTACATTAATGGTTGACTTGTAGGTTCTTCTAGTGTCTTTTATTAATGTCTGTCTGTCTCACTTCTTTGCATTTCAGATAAAAAATTTTCATTGTTTCTTGGGCAGATTGTACTCTGAATTCATCATTACACTGTATGATGTCTCATTCCTTTATGATTTATGTTAGTGAATCATCATCTTCCTTCAAACCGGCCACATCCCACCAAAACAGGATGGCCCAAAAAGAAAAAAAAAAGTTTCTCTTTCTAACTTTTATAATGTATACAGGAGAAGGGGTTACTAGCCCCCTTGCTCCCGGCATGTTAGTTGCCTCTTACGCTGCTCATGGCTTACGGAGGAAGAATTTTGTTCCACTTCCCCATGGAGATAAGAGGAAATAAACAAGAACTAGTAAGAAAATAGAAGAAAACCCAGAGGGGTGTGTATATATATGCTTGTACATGCATGTGTAGTGTGACCTAAGTGTAAGTAGTAGTAACAAGACGTACCTGAAATCTTGCATGCTTATGAGACAGAAAAAAGACACCAGCAATCCTACCATCATGTAAAACAAGTACAGGCTTCCATATTACACTCACTAGGCAGGACGGTAGTACCTCCCTGAGCAGTTGCTGTCCACCAACCTACTACCTAGGTACAGATATTAATCTTTCTTTCAACACACCGGCCGTATCCCACCGAGGCGGGGTGGCCCAAAAGGAAAATCGAAAGTTTGTCCTTTCACATTTAGTAATATATACAGGAGAAGAGGTTACTAGCCCCTTGCTCCCGGCATTTTAGTCGCCTCTTACAACACACATGGCTTACGGAGGAAGAATTCTGTTCCACTTACCCATGGAGGTAAGTAAGAGGAAATAAACAAGAATAAGAACTAGAAAGAAAATAGAAGAAAACCCAGAGGGGTGTGTATGTATGTGCTTGTACATGTATGTGTAGTGTGACTTAAGTGTAAGTAGAAGTAGCAAGGACATGCCTGAAATCTTGCATGCTTATGAGACAGAAAAAAGACACCAGCAATCCTACCATCATGTAAAACAAGTACAGGCTTCTGTATTATACTCACTAGGCAGGATGGTAGTACTTCCCTGAGCAGTTGCTGTCCACCAACCTACTACCTAGGTATAGATATTAATGTCAAAATAAGGGGGGGGGGAGAGGGAAAGTTGATCTGTATGTTATGAGAGTCACTCATTTGTACTGGCTATGACTAATATCATTTGCATCTGACCTCATGGGACCTATTGTTTATTTTCTTGAAGCGCATATGGAGTAGGGATGGGACGATACCAAGATTTTTGCCGATACTCATACCAGCACTCAGTTTGAGGCCAATATCCATACCATCAAAATAAGCTGATACCCACCAGTACCACTACTGATACCCCTAAAATTAGCTGATGCTCAGTTTTGGGCTGATACTGATACAATGAAAATCAACCACATTCTTAGTATGGAGTTTACATCTTCCACTTCTTCAATCAAGCCATTTCACTCTTCTGATCAGCCTAAGACTGAGTAGTTCCTCTTATCCTTATGACTGATTTGCCCATATGTGCTTCTTTGTTCCTATTTCCACTCTTTCAAACTTCCTTTTCCTGTTGACTATGTCAGCAGTTAAAAATAGGGGAGGAGAGTTATTAAATGGAGAGTTAGAGGTGTTACAAAAAACGCGATTCTAAAAGCTTAGAGATCTCCAGTGAATACTAGGAAGGACTGCCCTTCTAGCATCCAGCCTGTTACTGGGTTTTCGTAACAAGTAGTCAGTATCCTTGTCCAATTATCCATTAAAATTCAGTATGGTTCAATAGTGCTTTAGGATTACAACTGGTAGGCTACTAACTAGAGAAATTAAAATTTAATAAATTTATTAAGTCTAGAGGTATATTATCAAAGTAAATTAAATCACAGCAATTAAAATAAAATCAATCTCTCGAGTTCAATATTATTGTGCTGAAAGCACATATCACATTTATAATTCTTAAGTACCGTCAGGTACATTAACATTTAATAAGATATTACAAATATGTACAAGTGTGTGTATGCGTGTAAGTGCTCTTAAGTAGTTAGCTATGTCTCAAGACTCGAATAAGACTTAAACAAGTGACTGACAAAGTCCTCAAATAAACTAACTTCTTGACCGACTGGCAACCCGAACAGTCTGCTTGAACAACAAAGAATGCTAAGCCCAATAGCAATGCAATATCAAGCGACTACGACACAGAATCAGGAACTGGGGAATAATATAACGACACTAAGTAGGGACCATCAGCAGATCCTCCACAAAAGTTACAGAACTCCCATACAATTGAATCTATGTTCAGCATAGGAAAAACGCGACTGTGACAATACACAGAAACCAGTACAAAATTAGGTCAGAAGCTATAGCTAAGGACCTGAGATACTCAGTGTCTATGTGACACACAACCTCAGTACAACGTCGAAAATCACTAAGTCTTTACAATGTTCTGTGAACAAAGTTCTACAGAACTAACAAGAATAATGAGACAGACAATCTGTCCAACCAGCAAGCGAGTCTAGAGCAGACTAAAAACTTCACGAGAGGTGAGGACACCCCCCCCTCGATCACGTGATAGCTACGTGGACAACTGCAGCTCAGAAGCCGGCAGTATAACGAGTGACAAGCGATAATTACAGTAGTTGGACAATCAAGACTAACTGAGCACATATTATGTACATCCTAACAACATAAGCTAAATAACAATATAACAGTCAAATAATAATATAAAGTCATACATTTACGATTTAGCTATTATCGCAAATATAAGCAATATAAAATTAAATGAAAAGGTAATATACATTATATATACATAATAATCATTGTAACCCATTCAGGGGTTGCAACAAGAGGTATTGGGAAGATGGAGGTAATATTTTGAGGAATTGTTAAAAGTTGATGAAGATAGGGAAGCTGTAATTTTGTGTATAGGCAAGGAGGAATAACATCTTATCAGAGTGAGGAGGAATCAGGTGAGTGTGGGGCAGTGGGTAGAATGAAAGGGGGTAAAGCAGCTAGGATTGATGGGATAAAGATAGAAATGTTAAAAGCAGGTGGGGATATAGTTTTGGAGTGATTAAGATGTTAAGATATTGTTTGGATTTTTAACCCCGGAGGGTTTGCCACCCAGGACAACCCAAGAAAGTCAGTGCGTCATCTAGGACTGTTTAACTTACTTCCCTTGGGGTCCTCAATCTTATCCCCCAAGATGCAACCCACACCAGTCGACTAACACCCAGGTACCTATTTGCTGCTAGGTGAACAGGACAACAGGTGTAAGGAAACGCGTCGAAATGTTTCCACCCGCCAGGAATCGAACCCAGGCCCTCCATGTGTGAAGGGAGAGCTTTAGCCACCAGGCCACCATGCTTTTATTTAATGTATGGAAGAGGGTAAGGTACCTAGAGATTGGCAGAGAGCATGCATAGTTCCTTTGTATAAAGGCAATGGGGACAAAAGAGAGAGTAAAAATTATTGGGGAATAAGTCTGTTGAGTTTTAAGTAGTAGGTTGATAAACAGCAACCGCCCAGGGAGGTACTACCATCCTGCCAAGTGAGTGTAAAATGAAAGCCTGTAATTGTTATACATGATGGTAGGATTCCTGGTGTCCTTTTTTCTGTCTCATGAACATGCAAGGTTTCAGGTAAGTCTTGCTACTTCTACTTACACTTAGGTCACACTACACATACATGTACAAGCATATACAGTATATACACACCCCTCTGGGTTTTCTTCTATTAGTTCTTGTTCTTGTTTATTTCCTCTTATCTCCATGGGGAAGTGGAACAGAATTCTTCCTCTGTAAGCTATGCGTGTTGTAAGAGGCGACTAAAATGCCAAGAGCAAGGGGCTAGTAACTCCTTTTCCTGTATAAATTACTAAATTTAAAAAGAGAAACTTTTGTTTTTCTTTTTGGGCCACCCTGCCTTGGTGGGATACGGCCGGTTTGTTGAAAAAAAAAAAAAGTCTGTTGAGTATACCTGGTAAAGTGTGTGGTAGAGTTGTTATTGAAAGAATTAAGAGTAAGACGGAGAGCAGGATAGCAGATGAACAAGGAGGCTTTAGGAAGGGTAGGGGGGTGTGTAGACCAAGTGTTTACAGTGAAACATATAGGTGAACAGTATTTAGATAAGGGTAAAGAGGTTTTTGTAGCATTTATGGATTTGGAAAAGGCATTTAATAGGGTGGATAGGGGGAGCAGTGTGGCAGATGTTGCAAATATATAGAATAGGAGGTAGGTTATTGAAAGCAATGAAGAGTCTATGAGGATAGTGAGGCTTAGGTTAGAGTATGCAGGTGAGAGGGAGATTATTTCCCAGTAAAGGTAGGCCTTAGACAGGGATGTGTGATGTTACCATTTTTTTTTTTTTTTTAACAAGTCGGCCGTCTCCCACCGAGGCAGGGTGACCCAAAAAAGAAAGAAAATCCCCTAAAAGAAAATGCTTTCATCATCATTCAACACTTTCACCGCACTCACACATAATCACTGTTTTTGCAGAGGTGCTCAGGATACAACAGTTTAGAAGCATATACGTATAAAGATACACAACATATCCCTCCAAACTGCCATTGTTGTTCAATATATTTATAGATGGAATTGTAAGAGAAATGAATACTCGGGTGTTGGCAAGTGGTGTGGAGTTAAAAGATAAAGAATCTAACACAAAGTGGGAGTTGTCACAGTTGCTCTTTGCTGATGATACTGTGCTTTTGGGAGATTCTGAAGAGAAGTTGCAGAGGTTGGTTAATGAGTTTGGTAGGGTATGTAAAAGAAGGAAATAAAAAGTGAATATAGGAAAGAGTAAGGTGATGAGGATAACCATAAATTTAGGTAACAGAAGACTGGATATCAGATTGGAGGGAGAGAGTATGGAGGAGGTGAATGTATTCAGATATTTGGGAGTGGACGTGTCAGCAGATGGGTCTGTGAAAGATGAGGTGAATCATAGAATCGATGAGGGGAAAAAGGTGAGCGGTGCACTGAGGAGTCTGTGGAGACAAAGAACTCTATCCATGAAAGCAAAGAGGGGAATGTATGAGAGTAGTATAGTTATACCAATGTTCTTGTATGGGTGTGAGACATGGGTGGTGAATGTTGCAACAAGGAGAAGGCTGGAGGCAGTGGAGATGTCATGTCTGAGGGCAATGTGTAGTGTGAATATAATGCAGAGAATCTGTAGTTGGGATATTAGGAGGAGGTGCTGGATTACCAAAACTATTATACAGAGGGCTGAGGAGGAATTATTGAGATGGTTTGGACATGTAGAGAGGATGGAACAAAATAGAATGACTTTGAGAGTATATAAATCTGTAGTGGAGGGGAGGTGAGGTGAGGTAGGGGTCGGCCTAAGAATGGTTGGAGGGAGGGGGTAAAGGAGGTTTTGTGTTTGAGGGGCTTGGACTTCCAGCAAGCGTGCTAAGTAGGTGCAAATGGTTTTTAGGACTTGATGTGCTCTTGGAGTATAAGCAAGGCAACATTTATGAAGGGATTCAGGGAAACCGGCAGACTGGACTTGATTCCTGGAGATGGGAAGTACAGTGCCGGCACTCTGAAGGAGGAATGTTACAGTTGCAGTCTTACAACTGTAGTTTAAGCATGCCTCTGACAAGACAGTGATGGAGTGAATGATGATGAAAGTTTTTCTTTTTCGGGCCACCCTGCCTTTGTGGGAAATGGCCAATTTGTTAATAAAAAAATAATATAAATAAATATGTCAAGATCTCTAAGTTTCTGTAAGCCAAAAATCATGTCTTTCTGGCTATTCTGTCCTCTAATATGAAGGAGGCCTACCCCTGGGCCAGGGTTCAAGAGTAAGAAAACAAGAAATTGTTCACAAGTAAAATTATTAGGTTCAGTGCTTTGTCTGTTGTGTTCGTAAGGGTCATGTCATAACTCCTAACATCCCCTTTCAGCTTTTAATAATTTGTTTTACTACCTTCTGACCTTATTTTCCTTATTTTAGGGAATACTCTTAATACAATCTCCATGTACTTTCTCTTCATTTCTGGATGTGCTTGATCAGGCGAGAGTTCTTTATGCATGACATGTTGAAGTGTGTTTTTTTTTTAATTACATCATGTTCATCTCATTCTGCAACTTTTATAAAATGATATAAGGATATTATTAACAGAGTACTTTGCATTTACAAAAAGGTTGGTGGAAAGTGATGTAATTCTAGAAAGCTTTTTTCTATGTATGTATTTACAGTGGGGTTTCGTGTATCTGACATGATTGAGACTAATGGCATTTCAGTTAAATAACATTTTCTTCTAATCAAAAGTTGGTACATTAGATTTTTTTTTTAACACGTAGGCCATCTCCCACCAAGGCAGGGTGACCCAAAAAAGAAATATTTTCACCATCATTCATCACCTTCACCATCATTCACATATTATCACTGTCTTTCCAGAGACACCCAGATATGAGTTTAGGTGTCACTCGAAACAGCCAATATTCCAGACCCCTTCTTTAAAGTGCAGGCATTGCACTTAGTTTTCATGGAATAGTCTCTATGTATGAATATACATAGATTATATATTCAAAATATTGTCTGAATTGGAATTCTTGTAATTTTTACATTTGTCATGTTCTTAGTACAGTCATATTCAGCACAAAACTTGGAAAAAAATTTCTCTGTGGTTTCAACTCTTACACTGTCACTTTCCCAGTACTGCTCTGTACTCCTAAAGTGTAGCAACATGATCTAGCTTTTTCAGCATTTCAACTATCGGCTGGATAAATAGCTCATTACTCTTTCTTTTTACTGTATTATATCTGATTTTCTAATGTTTTTTTGAAATGCACATCTTACAAGGAAGGATAAAACCTAACAGTAATACAGTATCACTTTGCTTTTAACACTTTTTATCCTGGTTTCCTTATCACAATTACCAGCATGCAGTAGGTATGTAGTATTAAAAATATGATCTGCTATTACTGCACAATTAGAGTGTAATGCATACAAAAAATTGCCAAGACAAACTTGTAGTTGTAAATAAGGACCCCAAGGTCAGGTGTAGGTACTGCAGTGCCAGGCATTTAGCGAGCTGCAGAGGATAATGGTGCCAGCTTAGTGTGATGGACATTATTCATTTTAAGGGGACACAAGGAGGAGGAGTTTGTTTTTGGTTAGAGCAGATTTGTTGGTTACGTGGGTTAAGGAAAAATGAAGTCCTGTATTTGTGATGCCATTTTTCTTCCTTGGTAATTTCACTTTGAGAAGGAAGCCACAAGTGAGAGGCCTTGAGGCAGCCCTAACAAAATTAGTCTTCTAGCTGCTTCTATTCTGTTGTACCATTTTGAGACCTCTCTCATGCAAGTGTCTCCACTTACTTTTTCATCTCTATAAAGCAGCACTTGAGAAATATACACAGAATCATTTTATGATAAATATTGGCAGTTCTTACATTAAATTTTTTCAAGCATGCAGTAATTTTAAGTTGTTTCCTCTTGATTGTTTCACTGAAAAGGATGCAAGTAGGGTAAGTTAATATAAAATAATAGATTTTCTCAGTAGTTTTACACACTGCCAATTGACTGTGCAATAACATTTAAAATTGTACAAACTTTGATATTCTGCGCTTGCTTGTGAATCTTTACTTCAGTGTATGATAGTCTAGTATAGTTGGTAAGTACCATTATATTTGTTGTGGTGTTATTGATCTTTTTTTTTCTTGAAGTCTTAATGAAACATTAAACATGCATATAATGATCAGTCTATTTATGTACATAAGTTACTGGAGAAATGGATCAGTCTCTCATTCTATTTAGATAAGTTAGTGGAGAAATGGATTAGAGTTCATTAACAATTGTTACCAGGTTCACAACAGATTTATGTTTATTGGCATGGTAATGAATACCAAATCTAATGTACGATATTTTAAGTTTCCATGGATTCTCAGTTTCTGACAATGTTGATGTTTTCAATATTTACTTCAAAACTTTCTTATCTATATCACATGAAACTATAGCTGGTTATCTTTTGCTCTAATGTGTTGAGCTCTGGAAAATTATTTCTGAACTTTTGCAAATCTTTTTCCTTCTCTTTCTTGGTATGCATCCAATTACAATTAGTATTATAGAAACTAGAAGATTTACCTCATATTTTTAGTTTCAGATTCTTTATCTCGAGTGTATTCAGCCTTTATTTTTTTAATTGGCCATTTTTTTCTGAAATAGCATATAATTCACATATTCATAATAGAAATTTGGTAAAACACGCAGTTTTAATTTCTAAACTAGGTGGCTTAAAGAACGAGAATCTTTAAGTCGGCAACTAGAACGTGTGATGAGAAAACGTGAACGAGCAGATCCGACAGACCTTGCTGCATATAATGATTTGAATGACCAGGTGGAAGCTCTCAAAGCAAACATTGATTACATACATGAGAATATTCAAGAGAGTCAGGAGAATATAATGAGTATGGAAGAAAGTAAGGTAAGCTATCCAACTTTGTTGTGGATATGGTGAGTAGTCAGTTGAATATTGGAAATAGGGATGAAATGTTAGGTTAGGCATAAATGTAAGACAGTGTATGATGTTTCCTTGACAACATAACTTGGTTATAAATTTGACTATGTTTTCAAACAGTTATAGGAAAGGTCCAGGACAAAACAACCAGTGCTTAACACCTTAGTGTCTCCAAATTCCCTCAAATTTGATATTTAATTTTTATCTTTTGTTTAGAACTCACATCTGTAAATCTTAACTAAGTCTGACCAATAGGACAGGACAATAAGCATTTCTTTGAACATCATAACTAAGATAGATGATGATAGTTATTAGCCATTAAACTATACACATTTGGAATTAGCAGAATGCAAGGATTTCATTAATATAAGTTATATTCCTGTGTAAAAAATTACATACCCTCTTTGACCGTTTGACCTAGTCTAGAAGTCACAGTGATGGTTAGGACTGAATTATCCTTTAATTTCTTTTGGAACAATTCCAGTGGCCTTGCTCCAGTTGCAATATCTCAGATGTCATATTACATAATGAATACTATATCACTATATTGCAGATTGAATATTTAGTTAGGATTCAGGTGGGAAGCTAAAGTTGCTGTTTATGGTTTTAGTGTTAATACTGTATAATGTAAAAACAAAAGTGTGTCAGGTTGAGGTCATAGTGGTGTTACTCCCCAGAAACATTAATAGGATTTCTGAACCATTTATTCACATTATTGTAGTTAACTACATAAGAAATCCTACTTCATAGTCTGTATCTAGTTCTTAGGTAACTTTTAAGCCATGTGATTAGCTGCCAGAAATGCATTTCATAATTAGTGGCTTTCTTTTGTGCCTAACAATGTATTAATTCATGTAAATTACATTATTTATACTGCATACAGAAATAAAATTTTTTATTGTTGTAACAGATGTAATTAAGAATACTGAAGGTTACATGAGGAAGGTATAATTCAGATTTTTCTGTACTCTTGTAAAAGCATCTTAACAAGGAAATTTATAAAAAAAAAAAGTGACAGAAATGAAAGGTTCTTAGGGCAGCTGTAATAGTTACATTTGCCTGAAAATTGTTGTTGACTTTTGTAAGGGATTAATTATAATGATAATTAGTTTTTTGTGAGTGTGTTAGGGTTCTGTTGGGCTAAGAAGAATGTGGAACCCCGGATTTCGTACGTAATCAGTTTCAGAAGGTCGTTCTAAATCCGAAAAGTGCGAAAACCGAAGTAATATTTCCCATAAGAATAATGTAAATACAATTAATCCGTTTCAGACACCCAAAAATATTAACAAAAATACATTTTTTAAAGAATAACTAAAGCTTTACATACAGAAAACAATGAGAAATAAATATAAAGAACTAATGAAATGGATAGATGAACATTTAACATCACTTTTACCTTTATTGAAGACTCCTGTTGGCATATGGAGGGAGGAGACTTTGTTTGGAGACAAGACAAAATATGTACTTCAGTATGATGCTAATATCGACTCTACGGCTTATTTATCTTACAATTCATCTAATATGACATAATAAACAATATTAATAACATAGAAACATGATATATACTCTAGAATGAATATGTCATTACATATGTAACTAGTGGTGGTGGTGGTGAGTTTATCAGGGCCTCTGACAACATAAGCCGTATAGTGGTGCATGGGCACCACCACTAAACACACTACTAGTCACAGTGAAACACCACTAGTCACACTGAAACAATGCATGTAATTTATAAATAAGAAATATTGTATAAAAACATATTAGAGAATGTAAAGAAATAAAGTGGTTATTGTGGAGAATGTAAAGAAATTTTATTTATTTATTTATATTATTAATTTGGACATGATACATAGATGTACAAAGAAATACAGTGGTTAAGTGTAACATGCCAAAAGCCCCTTGTATGCAGAGCATTATGGGCAGGCTTAAAATTAACTTAAGATTAACTAAGCAATGATATATTCAGTGGTAAAAATTATAGTAAACAAATAACAATTAAGCACAAATGAGTATTTCAAAGTCAGGTCATATGGTCATTTGCTGAGTTGCTGTGTAATGTAATTAAAAAAAACAAGGTTTGATAGGGTCACAGGTTATACATTTATGAGATACAGTTATTCAGTATTTATTTAGTTGTGGGTGAATAAGTGATTTTTAAGAAGAGACTTGAATTTATAAACACAGTGTTTCTTTTATATTCACAGGTAATGAATTCCAGATTTTTGGGCCTTTTATGTGCATTGAGTTTTTTGCATAGTGTGAGATGGACACGAGGAACAGCAAAGAGTGATCTGTGCCTTGTGTTATGGTCATGTGTTCTGTTGAACACATTGAGATGCTGGCAGAGGTTTAGGGTGGTGGAAGATACGCAGGGCGGCATATTTGTCAGTGGCCCTATATACCTCCAACAGCATTGGAAGATTTAGTTTCGTGTCATCTTTTTTCTATCGCTTAATCACTTAACTTACTTGCTACACTGTTAATGCTACACTTGATCGCTGGCTGGAGCTATAGTCTTTATCGACTCCTGCTGCTTTAGTATTGTACATATCATAAAATCGCCGAAGAAGGCACATTCTCTCCTGTCTCTGAGCCCTTTACCACAGGGCTGGCACTAGGAACTTTCTTTGGGCCCATGGTGGCTTGTTTCACAGTCACAATCGGTAAACAAGCACAAAAATTGCGAAATGTTTCAGATGAATGCTCACTCGACCAGTGACAGAGCCAGACTGAAGCGGCATCCCGGCGGGTGGAGATGTCTGATATGCAAGATTCCCGGGACGAGGTCTGAAATTCGAAGCAAAATTTCACAGAAAAAAAGTGTCTGAAATCTGAAAAGTCCGATATCTGGTGTGTGCGAAATCCGGGGTTCTACTGTGGTTAATAGTCATGTGATGTAGTTTTTGGTCAGAACTAGTGTATGAGTTTATAAGTCGAGGGTTCCTGCTACAAAATTATATTTTGCAAAACTTTCTCAAGATATTGTTTGAGCTAGTATTGATTTATGTAATTTGGCATGTTTATTTTTTATAACAGGAGCAGTCAGAATTGCTGCATTCAGATACCGTGACTGCTGGACTAGGCGTGGAAGAATCTCACTACCTCATCAACAAGCTGATCAGCATGACAGTTAACCAAGCCACCATTGCAGCACAGAGACAAGCAGCAATATCTGAATTGGAAGGAAAAATGAAACAGGTGTGTACATAGAAGGATAAAATAGTAAAAAGTAACTTTTATTAAAAAAATTTAGTTTCCTTTTTTCTTTACATATGGTTGTAACTGCATAATGTAACTGATAATTTTTTAGATATTGTAATAAAATCATTTTGACAAGTACCTCCAATTTCTCGAATCGAGAGCCCATTATCACCATCACTTCCTCATTATGTCAGACATCTAAACCTTGGACACAGTTTGGTATCCCATTGTCATCATTATAAATTAATTACATAGCCAATATCCTTTCTCTTCCATCCAGTTGCAATAACTGTAAAAGTTTTGTGGTTTTTAACTATTTCAAAGTCTGTGCCATAGTACTATAGGTTTGAACTCAGGGCCTGTCTCATAGCACTACGTGATGAGCTCAGCTCACTCAGATAAACGGTGAGCAGTAAATTTGGGCCCAGATATGAGAGTGGGTCTATGCGGTGAGTGTACACCTTGTAAGAACAACCTTCCCCACGCAGTGAATGATGGGGAAAAACTGACCAGGAATTTGTTTAAAATAGCGATTTGCAGTGAATTTTCGGATGGTTTTTGTGGTTGTATTCTTGGTTTCTTGGTATCAATTGATAGAATGGATGATATATTACAGTAATATAGATGATTTTGATTGCTTTCAGGACTGAAAGAAGCTTGAAATTGAGCTGAAAGTAGCAAAAATGTTCAATCTTTGCCAGTATTCCAGAGGACACAAATTACGTCGCTCATCCAATACATGTCCAATTGGCCAATCTGATACGCATTTAGGAATGCACTGACATTATTTATACAATTATTACAATAATTCAGTAGTCTTCATAAAAGTAAATTTTCTATTTTTTTGTGTGAATAATAATTCAAAATGGAAGGCAAGTGTAATATATGAGAGGCCTGGGGACATAACTAATGAACAGAGAAACTGCTGTTGTAGTGCCAGGAATATTTACATTGTTTATTCTGGACCCTTTTTTTAAACTGGCAATTTTTGTGTGAAACTGGGTGGTTTCTTGTACTCAGTTGATAGAATGGAAGAAATACTAGCGAAACAGCTATTAGTTTCGTCAATTGGAGTAATGGAATTGGCCTGAAATATGACAGTGGGCAAAATCACCAATGCATAAATATCACCAAGACCACTAACTTTGCAAGAGCATAACCCATAAATTTTCCCACAAATTTCATGCTTTTGGTTTCATTACCTTCAGAAAAAGGTTCTCTATCTTTTCATAAGTTTTTTTTTTTGACCCTGAGAGCAATTTTCAGATCAGGGGTCTGGACCCTGAGAGGGTTAATATTAGAGTGAAAATGCTGTGAAGTAGTAACCTGGGTGTACTGTCAGTAGACACAAACTCTATTACAGGTACTTCTCACTTAACTCTTTCATTGTCAGTCCTGTTACATCACGGCTTTGAAGCCAGTGGTGATCCCGTAGTATGACACCATGAGCTTAGCTCACTCAGATAAGCTGTGAGCAGTAAATTTAGGCCTAGATGTGAGAGAATGGGTCTATGTGGTAAGTGTGCACCATATAAAAAAAAATCTTGCAGCACGCAGTGCATAACGAGAAAACTGTGACCATGTTTTTTGGCTTAAAACAGCGACTTTGCAGTGTATTTTTGCATGGTTTTTATGGTTGTACAGGTCCACATCCCTTTATCTGAAACCCTTGGGGCCAGTACTGTTTCGAATTTCAGAATTTTTCGAATTTCAGAATGAAGGTGGGATCTAGGACAGCGCCCCATAATCAAACATTAACATTGCAGCAAAAATGTATGAATACTCACACTCAGTGAGATAAATAAAGACTACAAATACTACTACTACTTCTTTTCTTTCAACACACTGGCCGTATCCCACCGAGGCGGGGTGGCCCAAAAGGAAAAATGAAATTTTTTTTTTTTTTTTTTTTTTTTTTTCCAACAAACCGGCCGTATCCCACCGAGGCAGGTTGGCCCAAAAAGAAAAACAAAAGTTTCTCTTTTTAAATTTAGTAATTTATACAGGAGAAGGGGTTACTAGCCCCTTGCTCCCGGCATTTTAGTCGCCTCTTACAACACGCATGGCTTACGGAGGAAGAATTCTGTTCCACTTCCCCATGGAGATAAGAGGAAATAAACAAGAACAAGAACTAGAAAGAAAATAGAAAACCCAGAGGGGTGTGTATATATATGCTTGTACATGTATGTGTAGTGTGACCTAAGTGTAAGTAAAAGTAGCAAGATGTACCTGAAATCTTGCATGTTCATGAGACAGAAAAAAGACACCAGCAATCCTACCATCATGTAAAACAATTACAGGCTTTCGTTTTACACTCACTTGGCAGGACGGTAGTACCTCCCTGGGCGGTTGCTGTCTACCAACCTACTACCTAGATCTACTACTACTACTACGGTTTATTTATAGAGTAATATATTGTTAAATGACATAATGGGATAATTGTAGACCATCTGTCATATTAACATAGGTTTCTGTCTAACCAATCTCTTTAACAGAGTAAATTACCATAATCTCTTCCTCACTGATAAAAGCACATTGTTCAAGGCCAGCAATTAACTGATCACACTTTTTCACCATATCGTCTATGGAGACTTTTTCACCTGTGTTGACAATGTCATCATCATCATCTACTCTTCTTCTTTCTTCTTCTTCTTTTCTTTCTTCTTCTTTTTGATTATAATAATAATAATAATCATCATCTACTATTCTCATTCTTATTTGTATTTAACACCATTTCAGCAATTTCACCATCACTCAAGGAATGCACAACAAGTGCATCATTGTCAATGTGCAGCATTTCTTTGATATCAGCTTCCTGTAACTTATTCACACTTTTGTCTGATAAACTTTTAGCATAAGTTACGAGGTTTGATATCATCTTAAGCCATAGTCTGTGCCAAGTATCTGTTAATGTTGACTTATCAACATCCTTCCAAACATTAAGGGGCGGTATCACATGTGCGGCGCGCAAGTGACAAAAAAAATTATGGAAATTGAGTTATCATATAGAAAAATAGCTTACCTCATTGGCAACAGAATGGTACAGTACAAGAATCAATATTCTATGATATTCCTACAAGGAATTAGTCATTTATATCATGTATCATGAGGCCTTATGTGTGTGCTATGCCTGCTCACAACCTTTTTTTTTTTTTTATCCTTTCTAATATACAGGTAATTGATGATTTGGCATCATAAGAGAGCGGGCAGAGCTAATACACAATCTGAGAGCCAATCAGGAACCTTCTAGGAACGTTAGATTACGTCAGTGGAATTCCTGAGTCTCGGGACGGAGGAGATTCTAGTTCAATATTATGCTAATATCAACTCTGCAGCTTATTTATCTATCACTATTCATCTAATATGACATAATAAACAATATAAATGACATAGAAACATGATATATACTCTAGAATGAATAAAATAGACCATAATATGGTGAGTGTTGACGACGAATGCTGCACATAAAATCATTTCCCCTCCTTCCTATAACGTGTTCTTTGGCCTTGGGTAAGAGAAAATGGAGTTTTGGAGAGGCTAACTGCACTAGATCACTAGTTTCATAAGGAAAACACTGAAACAATAGCAATTTTCTCTGAAAATTTTTTTTTCTTGAGACGGGAAGCCTGCTGGTGTTCCAGGCGAATACGTATCTTGGAAGTAAGTTATTGACTTATTTCACTGTGGTGAGCATTTGCTATTTAATTAAATGAAATAATATTCACAGGAATCATAAAAGAATGATTGTTCTTAATTTTCAAGGTTTACTCCACACTCCACGAAAAAACTTCGGTTCTCGGAACTTTTCCAATTTCAGAATTTCAGATAAAGGGATGTGGACCTGTATTCTCAGTTTCTTGGTCTCATTTGATTGAATGGAAGATATATTTCAGAAATTGAGGTGATTTGATTAGTTTCAGGACAAAGTAGCTTGAAATTGAGTACACAAATGGCATCACTTGTCCAATACGCATCCAGCTGGCCAGTCTAATACTCATTTAGGAATGTACTGACATTATTTATACAGTTATTACAATAATGCAGTAGTCTGCATAACAGTAAATCTTCTATTTTTTGTGTGAGTAAAAATTCAAAATGAAAAGTTGACTAATACTTGTGGGTTTACCACAAGTATTATTCAAAGTGTAGAGGTGGGGTTGTTGAGGTGGTTTGGACATACAGAGAGGATGAAAAAATAGGATGACTAGAAGGGCATATAGATCTGGGGTAGAGAGGAGAAAGTGTAGGGGTTATCACAGGAATGGTTGGAGGGAAAGAGTAAAGGAGGTTTTGAGCACTAGGAGCTTGTACATCCAACAAGCTTGTGTGAGTATGTTAGACAGAAATGAGTGCAGGCAAGTGGTTTTCATAGTTTGATGTGCTGCTGCATTGTAAGCAAGGTAGCTCTTATAAAGGGATTTGGGGAAACCTGTTAGCTGGACTTGATTCCTGGAGGTGGTAAGTAGTGCTTGCATTCTGGATGAGCACTGGGGATGATGCAGTTTGGAAGGTTATCTGAGCTGTGATGTTGGCATGCTTCTTACAGGAGAACGATTCAATGAATGATTATAAAAGTGTTCCTTCTTTTTTGGGGGGTCACCTTTACCTTGGTGGGAGATGCCAGTGTGTTAAAACCATTCATGTTTAGTGAAAAAACTATTAGCAGATAAAAAAGTATTCATTTTTTTTTTTTTTTTTTCCAACAAACTGGCCGTATCCCACCAAGGCAGGGTGGCCCAAAAAGAAAAACGAAAGTTTCTCTTTTTAAATTTAGTAATTTATACGGGAGAAGGGGTTACTAGCCCCTTGCTCCTGGCATTTTAGTCGCCTCTTACAACACGCATGGCTTACGGAGGAAGAATTCTGTTCCACTTCCCCATGGAGATAAAAGGAAATAAACAACAACAAGAACTAGAAAGAAAATAGAAGAAAACCCAGAGGGATGTGTATATATACATATATATGCTTGTACATGCATGTGTAGTGTGACCTAAGTGTAAGTAGAAGTAGCAAGACGTACCTGAAATCTTGCATGTTTATGAGACAGAAAAAAAGGACACCAGCAATCCTACCATCATGTAAAACAATTACAGGCTTTCGTTTTGCACTCACTTGGCAGGACGGTAGTACCTCCCTGGGCGGTTGCTGTCTACCAACCTACTACCTAGAAAAGTATTCATATTTAAATAAAAATATTAGCAGATTATTTGGCCTTCTTGAAAATTTCCCAAAAAGCCAACTCAATTTAGGGGTGAATGTACATAAGTTACCAGTGTGTATTTTTAGAATAACTGCTAATACTAATTACAAAACAGATGGAGCAAACTACGAGTGTTCAAGAGCAGTTGCTGGCCCATGTACTTGGGGACAAGGATCTCGAGGTGTACAGTTTAATGTCGTCCCTCGTGGCTGCTGAGGATAACACACCTGCATCCACAGAGTCATCCCGATCAAATTCCCCAACAGATGGGTAAGGAATTGTCATACTTAAGTGTGCCTAAAATATTGAGTTAGTAGGAGTAAAATGTCTTTTTTTTTTTTTTTTATAAAGTTAAGCTTGTTATTTGTGAATAAGAAACATGAAAGATTTTTAAACTTTTTTGTTTTAAGTTTTTAAAAGCTTGTATTTTTCTCTTCAATAGTTTTATTATTGGCTACACTTACACTGCAGCAATTGACTCCAATTTCTTCACCATCATCACCACAACATCCTTTCAGTAACTGCTGTTTGTATAATTCTTTGTCAGTTTTCCCTTAATTGTGTTCACCTAGTTGAGGGTGCATGGTCAAGTCTTAGCTACTGGCTCCTGCCTCTCAACTATTCAGTCACTATTCCTGCTCCCATCATACTTTACTCTTTAAACTTTATATCTTTCTCCATGTTCCCATCTACTTTTCAACAGCACATGCTTTACACACACACACACACACACACACACACACACACACACACACACACACACACACACACACACACACACACACACACACACACACACACACACACACACACTCACACTCACACTCACACTCACACTCACACTCACACACACACACACACTCACACACTCACACACTCACTCTTACTTATTTGTCAGTGCAAGCCAGTCATTCATTCACTTTTATAATTGATTGAACAATATGTAGAATTCTTTGACAGATGTCTCAACTGTACCTTCACTTGAGAGTAATTGAAATATCTGAGGAAAATCTGCACATAGCCAGGCCTCCCTCAAGAGATAAGAGTTTCCGGAGGGAACACTGCATGTATGTAAATAGAAAAAGAAGTTTTATCCAAGAATTTCATCTGTTCATAAGAGACTAATACAACATGAGTATACTGTGTATATTAGCTTGAAGTGAAGTTTGTAAGGTGAAACAGCATGTGAAGGTCACATATGATAGTCAACTGGGTAGGTGAGAACAGGTGATCTCAGGGTCAAGTTTAGGAAGGTTAAGCTTCATTAAGACTTCAGAGATTGTGAAGTAGTATTTGTGGTGGCTATTCCTGCTGAATATAAACAAAGAGTTTCCTATGATGGTCAGTTTCCCTGATAAGCTTCGCTTCTGGGAAATTCATATGGCAGCCAGCCAGCCAGCCAGCCAGCCAGCCAGCCAGCCAGCCAGCCAGCCAGCCAGCCAGCCAGCCAGCCAGCCAGCCAGCCCGCCAGCCAGCCGCAGCCAGCCAGCCAGCCAGCCAGCCAGCCAGCCAGCCAGCCCCGCCAGCAGCCAGCCAGCCAAACCAGCCAGCCAGCCAGCCAAACCAGCCAGCCAGCCAGCCAGCCAGCCAGCCAGCCAGCCAGCCAGCCAGCCAGCCAGCCAGCCAGCCAGCCAGCCAGCCAGCCAGCCAGCCAGCCAGCCACCAGCCAGCCAGCCAGCCAGCCAGCCAGCCAGCCAGCAGCCAGCCACCAGCCAGCCAGCCAGCCAGCCCAGCCAGCCAGCCAGCAGCCAGCCAGCCAGCCAGCCCGCCAGCCAGCCAGCCAGCAGCCAGCCAGCCAGCCAGCCAGCCAGCCAGCCAGCCAGCCAGCCAGCCAGCCAAACCAGCGCCAGCCAGCCAGCCAGCCAGCCAGCCAGCCAGCCAGCCAGCCAGCCAGCCAGCCAGCCAGCCAGCCAGCCAGCCAGCCAGCCAGCCAGCAGCCAGCCAGCCCCCGCACCAGCCACAGCCAGCCAGCCAGCCAGCCAGCAGCCAGCCAGCCAGCCAGCCAGCCAGCCAGCCAGCCAGCCAGCCAGCCAGCCAGCCAGCCAGCCAGCCAGCAGCCGCCAGCCAGCCAGCCAGCCAGCCAGCCAGCCAGCCAGCCACCCAGCCAGCCCAGCCAGCCAGCCAGCCAGCCAGCCAGCCAGCCAGCCAAGCCAGCCAGCCACCCAGCCAGCCAGCGCAGCCAGCCAGCCAGCCAGCCAGCCAGCCAGCCAGCCAGCCAGCCAGCCGGGCCAGCCACCCAAAGCCAGCCAGCCAGCCAGCCAGCCGCCAGCCAGCCAGCCAGCCAGCCAGCCAGCCAGCCAGCCAGCCAGCCAGCCAGCCAGCCAGCCAGCCAGCCAGCCAGCCAGCCAGCCAGCCAGCCAGCCAGCCAGCCAGCCAGCCAGCCAGCCACCAGCAGCCAGCCAGCAGCCAGCCAGCCAGCCAGCCAGCCAGCCAGCCAGCCAGCCAGCCAGCCAGCCAGCCAGCCAGCCAGCCAGCCAGCCAGTTTATTGCTGGTTTGGTTAACAAGAAGTATGATTTATCTATCAGATGTTCCATATACAAGCTGGCCATGAATGCACCTAAAGGTGAGCTCAAACGAGCGATAACCTTTTCAGTGTCTTAGCTGAAGCCAATATCAGGGGTTGCTAATTTTTCTTTAAGAGCCATAAAAGACTTAAAAAGATAGGAAAACTGATGTACACCACTGCTGGCATTTATACCATTCCTAGTGGCAGGTGTGAAAAATTTTGTGGGAAAACTTCCAGGGACCTAAAAACTTGAGTAAGAAAATATACAATATATGCATGTAGGAGGGATGAGATACACAATGCATGCACTGTACAGTACACTGAGAATCACCATGTGAATTTCCCAGAAATGAAATATAAAATCTAGAAAAGCAATTGTTAGAGAATATTGTGTTGAGAATCAGCAGGAATAGCCATTACAAATACTTTTTTCACAAAATTGAGTTGTTCACAATTTCTGAAGTCTTGTTCTTCCTAAACCTGATAATATGATAACTTAACCTCGTCTTCCCAGCCAGCTACTATGTGCAGCTTCACCTATATTCCATTTCTCCTCAGGAACCTTGCCTCAAGTCACTATATATACTCAGGTTGTGTTATTATCTGCATGACTCAGTGTCCCTGGTGGATGAAATGTCTCATAAAACACCATAACCTGCATATTGTCTTAAATACATCCTTCAAGTTAATTCTGTCATTGAAACACTACATCACACAAGCATAGGATAGACAGTATGAATTTCAGAATATCTAAAATATATGGTTTTTGTAATACACTAGACCATTGGATAACATGGTAGTTACATTTCTAAAAACGTGTAATAAAAAAAAAGTGTGTAAACTGAACTGAAGAACATATGGGAAAAATGGGGTTATGTTCACTAGATCTCCCCCCAAAAAAGCCAACCAAATTTTTTATAGGTGTCAAAATTGTAAAAAGCAATGATGATGATAATGTAATTGAAGGTTGATATGGCGATGTGCATCAAAGCTAGTAGAGATGCAATCGCATCTCTACTAGCAGACAGAGGTACTTTGTCCTACTTGTTGCAACTATATGAGAGCTATAAAAGAGGGGTTAGAGTAGTTGGGGTGGTCTTCAGGTAGTGAGGAAATGGTGTAGGTGTAAGCATGTACTGTGGGAGAAATTGTTTGGGTTGGTTGTGTGGGGGTAGATTGTTGGTTGGGATGGTGTGGGTGAAGGAGTGTGGTCATCTGGGAGTTGTGTAGATGAAGGTATGTGGCCATGGGTGAGTTGTGTGGGTGGTGGTTACTGGTTGGAATATTGTGAGTGATAATGTAGGGTTCGATAGACGGGAGATGGCAGTAAGCAAAACACTAATGGACTGTTATGGGAGGAGATATATTGAGAATACTTGGTAGAGGCCCCCAGCTTGTGTCTGACTGTCTCTAAGCCTAGTAGAGTTCTGAGGCAGAGGCCTGTGGCTTAGCTGACTGGTTTAGAGAAGTCTGTGACATCAGCATGGCAAGGGAGTTTGGCTGTAGATATATTAGTAATCTGTATACTACACAAGCATTACACTGTTGACAGTGAATGCATGCAGCCATGGGGGAATTATAAGTGCGAGGGGTATGGATGGGGGTTGTGGGTGGTATCAGCACTACATCCATGCACATTTAAGCATCCCAGTTTTATAAAGTTTTTTTTTTAAAAGAGAAGAAGAAAAACTTTATAAAACTGGGATGCTTAAATGTGTGTGGATGTAGTGCGGATGACAAGAAACAGATGATTGCTGATGTTATGAATGAAAAGAAGTTGGATGTCCTGGCCCTAAGCGAAACAAAGCTGAAGGGGGTAGGGGAGTTTCAGTGGGGGGAAATAAATGGGATTAAATCTGGAGTATCTGAGAGAGTTAGAGCAAAGGAAGGGGTAGCAGTAATGTTGAATGATCAGTTATGGAAGGAGAAAAAAGAATATGAATGTGTAAATTCAAGAATTATGTGGATTAAAGTAAAGGTTGGATGCGAGAAGTGGGTCATAATAAGCGTGTATGCACCTGGAGAAGAGAGGAATGCAGAGGAGAGAGAGAGATTTTGGGAGATGTTAAGTGAATGTATAGGAGCCTTTGAACCAAGTGAGAGAGTAATTGTGGTAGGGAACCTGAATGCTAAAGTAGGAGAAACTTTTAGAGAGGGTGTGGTAGGTAAGTTTGGGGTGCCAGGTGTAAATGATAATGGGAGCCCTTTGATTGAACTTTGTATAGAAAGTGGTTTAGTTATAGGTAATACATATTTTAAGGAAAAGAGGATAAATAAGTATACAAGATATGATGTAGGGCGAAATGACAGTAGTTTGTTGGATTATGTATTGGTAGATAAAAGACTGTTGAGTAGACTTCAGGATGTACATGTTTATAGAGGGGCCACAGATATATCAGATCACTTTCTAGTTGTAGCTACACTGAGAGTAAAAGGTAGATGGGATACAAGCAGAATAGAAGTATCAGGGAAGAGAGAGGTGAAGGTTTATAAACTAAAAGAGGAGGCAGTTAGGGTAAGATATAAACAGCTATTGGAGGATAGATGGGCTAATGAGAGCATAGGCAATGGGGTCGAAGAGGTATGGGGTAGGTTTAAAAATGTAGTGTTAGTGTTCAGCAGAAGTTTGTGGTTACAGGAAAGTGGGTGCGGGAGGGAAGAGGAGCGATTGGTGGAATGATGATGTAAAGAGAGTAGTAAGGGAGAAAAAGTTAGCATATGAGAAGTTTTTACAAAGTAGAAGTGATGCAAGGAGGGAAGAGTATATGGAGAAAAAGAGAGAGGTTAAGAAAGTGGTGAAGCAATGTAAAAAAGAGTAAATGAGTGGGTGAGATGTTATCAACAAATTTTGTTGAAAATAAGAAAAAGTTTTGGAGTGAGATTAACAAGTTAAGAAAGCCTAGAGAACAAATGGATTTGTCAGTTAAAAATAGGAGAGGAGAGTTATTAAATGGAGAGTTAGAGGTATTGGGAAGATGGAGGGAATATTTTGAGGAATTGTTAAATGTTGATGAAGATAGGGAAGCTGTGATTTAGTGTATAGGACAAGGAGGAATAACATCTTGTAGGAGTGAGGAAGAGCCAGTTGTGAGTGTGGGGGAAGTTCGTGAGGCAGTAGGTAAAATGAAAGGGGGTAAGGCAGCCGGGATTGATGGAATAAAGATACAAATGTTAAAAGCAGGTGGGGATATAATTTTGGAGTGGTTGGTGCAATTATTTAATAAATGTATGGAAGAGGGTAAGGTACCTAGGGATTGGCAGAGAGCATGCATAGTTCCTTTGTATAAAGGCAAAGGGGATAAAAGAGAGTGCAAAAATTATAGGGGGATAAGTCTGCTGAGTATACCTGGTAAAGTGTATGGTAGAGTTATTATTGAAAGAATTAAGAGTAAGACGGAGAATAGGATAGCAGATGAACAAGGAGGCTTTAGGAAAGGTAGGGGGTGTGTGGACCAGGTGTTTACAGTGAAACATATAAGTGAACAGTGTTTAGATAAGGCTAAAGAGGTCTTTGTGGCATTTATGGATTTGGAAAAGGCGTATGACAGGGTGGATAGGGGGCAATGTGGCAGATGTTGCAAGTGTATGGTGTAGGAGGTAGGTTACTGAAAGCAGTGAAGAGTTTTTACGAGGATAGTGAGGCTCAAGTTAGAGTATGTAGGAAAGAGGGAAATTTTTTCCCAGTAAAAGTAGGCCTTAGACAAGGATGTGTGATGTCACCGTGGTTGTTGAATATATTTATAGATGGGGTTGTAAGAGAAGTAAATGCGAGGGTCTTGGCAAGAGGCGTGGAGTTAAAAGATAAAGAATCGCACACAAAGTGGGAATTGTCACAGCTGCTCTTTGCTGATGACACTGTGCTCTTGGGAGATTCTGAAGAGAAATTGCAGAGATTGGTGGATGAATTTGGTAGGGTGTGCAAAAGAAGAAAATTAAAGGTGAATACAGGAAAGAGTAAGGTTATGAGGATAACAAAAAGATTAGGTGATGAAAGATTGAATATCAAATTGGAGGGAGAGAGTATGGAGGAGGTGAATGTATTCAGATATTTGGGAGTGGACGTGTCAGCGGATGGGTCTATGAAAGATGAGGTGAATCATAGAATTGATGAGGGGAAAAGAGTGAGTGGTGCACTTAGGAGTCTGTGGAGACAAAGAACTTTGTCCTTGGAGGCAAAGAGGGGAATGTATGAGAGTATAGTTTGACCAACGCTCTTATATGGGTGTGAAGCATGGGTGATGAATGTTGCAGCGAGGAGAAGGCTGGAGGCAGTGGAGATGTCATGTCTGAGGGCAATGTGTGGTGTGAATGTAATGCAGAAAATTCGTAGTTTGGAAGTTAGGAGGAGGTGCGGGATTACCAAAACTGTTGTCCAGAGGGCTGAGGAAGGGTTGTTGAGGTGGTTCGAACATGTAGAGAGAATGGAGCGAAACAGAATGACTTCAAGAGTGTATCAGTCTGTAGTGGAAGGAAGGCGGGGTAGGGGTCGGCCTAGGAAAGGTTGGAGAGAGGGGGTAAAGGAGGTTTTGTGTGCGAGGGGCTTGGACTTCCAGCAGGCATGCGTGAGCGTGTTTGATAGGAGTGAATGGAGACAAATGGTTTTTAATACTTGACGTGCTGTTGGAGTGTGAGCAAAGTAACATTTATGAAGGGGTTCAGGGAAACTGGCAGGCCAGACTTGAGTCCTGGAGATGGGAAGTACAGTGCCTGCACTCTGAAGGAGGGGTGTTAATGTTGCAGTTTAAAAACTGTAGTGTAAAGCACCCTTCTGGCAAGACAGTGATGGAGTGAATGATGGTGAAAGTTTTTCTTTTTCGGGCCACCCTGCCTTGGTGGGAATCGGCCAGTGTGATAATAAAAATAAAAAATAACTTGGTAGAGGCCCCCAGCTTGTGTCTGACTGTCTCTAAGCCTAGTAGAGTTCTGAGGCAGAGGCCTGTGGCTTAGCTGACTGGTTTAGAGAAGTCTGTGGCATCAGCATGGCAAGGGAGTTTGGCTGTAGATATATTAGTAATCTGTATACTACAAAAGCATTACACTGTTGACAGTGAATGCATGCAGCCATGGGGGAATTATAAGTGCGAGGGGTATGGGTGGGGGTTGTGGGTGGTATCAGTAATGTTGCTGGGTGTGCAGCAAGGGTGTGTGGCCATGGGAGGGAGGAGGAGGTTGACTGAGCAGTTGGTGTGGACAGGTGTGTGACCAAGGAATGGTACTAAATGTATATGAGCATAGCACGAAGTATGGCATTAGACGCATATGAACATAGCACAAGGTATGCTATTGGACGTGTATGAACATAGTATCATGTATGGTATTAGACGTGTATGAGTGGAGCCCTGAGCCTTGTTGTGTAGCCTCACTTCCAGATGCTCTAACCTTCATCCAACACCAACACCTATTTTTCACACTCCTCTGTCCACATGTTCTAGCTCTCACCTCACCTTCACCCATCCCTTGCCCACCTTCATCTACCCCACCCATCCCATCACCTACATACCCTCAACTTTCTGCCCATGTGTCAGAGGGTTGGACAGGTGTAAAATGACACCTTCACCCAGCATCAGGCCCCCACCTTCACCCAACATCAGGCCTCCACCTTCACCCAACATCAGGCCTCCACCTTCACCCATCTCCCACAGATGCCCTTTTCCCATACTCACCATTACTTTCTTAGATCTCACATCCTCCCCTCCCCCCCCCATGCGCACACACTTGCATCCACTTCTCTCTTAAACATTCACCGTCATCTGAATATCCTCACTCGCCTGCCTCTACCCATCCCCACACCAGTGTCCATCTGACCATATGCTATAGTGCTACATGAGATGTACCACGGCTGGAGGGAATATGGGAAAGCAGTGACGGCATGCACCCACAGGCCACTCTCACCCTTTGCTTGGACCTTTACTCGCCCGTCTTCACCCAATGCTTTGTCCTCACTCACTAGCTCACCCATTTATACCCACTTGCTTGCACGTTCCCACCCACTAGCATGCTCCCACCTGCTATCCCATAAGACAATGAACTCACCCTGAGGCTCACTGTGAGATGGAGGGAAATCACCACAGCTCATGCCAAATTTTTCCCCTACATGTGCTCCACCATGTAAACCAATTTTTATGTTGTGTACACTGAAAATATGCCGCAATTTTGCAAAATGTGTTAACAGAAAATGTTTTAACAGATCACATGTTATCCGACGATCTACTGTACTTTTTGTGTGTTGCACAATAATATCCTAATCTCAGATTTGGTTTTTGCTTACTATTGGCTGACATTTTATGAGATCGAAAACATACTTATTTGCTCCACAGTTGATTAGTAGAATATGTTAATTGCTTTAATTAGATATTAATAATTTACATAATCTAATGTGTACCAGTATAGCTTTTGATTTTGAAAGGGGTTCTACAAAACCTTTTATTATGCCACAAGTAGTATGGCAATAACAGTGTCACAGGGAAATAGTCAATATTCTTTAGCTTTCAGTAGCAGTACAGTGTATGACCCCAGTCACCCATTCCTTCATTCCTGATGAACCTTACTCCACCCTTTTAATTTTTTATTATTTTTATTTTGTTCACTTTTTGAATGCTTAGCAGTTTCCCTCCACTTGAAGAGCTTTTAGATGAAAATACCTGCCTGTTACTCATCTCACTTGCTATAGTGCATATGATAGATGTTATTGTGGAAGAACTTATTGCATTAGTGATATCTATAGTTTCCTGATATATGGAATAGTGTGCAGATTGGGTCACTGCAAGGTATCGGTGAAAGGCACGTGTGGAAATGATGCCAACGGCAGGTTATATTCTAAACTCTGCTGAAGGAAAACATGCATGAAGCATGCTACAGTCTCAGGATGACAGCTCTGATGAAAAAATTGGTGTGATAGCCATAACTTGAAAATACTGGGGGCTACCTTGCAACCCTACACCATCATCATTACTGCATTTGCAAAATTAAATTTGGGAGAGAATTCTAGTAATAGTGGCCTCAGCATGTTTAGTGATGAATACTTTTTCTGTCTCTCCCTGTTCCTTTCTTTCTGATACCTCGCCCATCCAATGTTCCTTCCAACAACCTTGATCCAAAACCTGCATGTATTGTGCATTGTATTGTTGTTACTTGCTGCTACTTATTCTTTATTTATCCTTTTGATGCATGTTTTATTCACTACTCATGCATTGTTCTTGTCCATTATATGAAATATTTATTTTTACTTATTTTGCACAATTATTTTCCTGATCACTCCAAATTGTACTCCATGCATGTGGCTTAATTTTCTTATTTTATGTCTTTAATTTGTATGTTGTTTACTTCATCTCCTTTATAACTTATATTGTGTGTACTGCATTCCTTGGTTCATCTTTTGGTAATAACGACTTTCTGTGCAACCTGTTTCGTTTGCTGTTCTTTTCCATGTATCCCTTCCCTTTCCTTTCCCTTCCTCCTTCCCTACCCCTCACAGCCTGATGGAATCATCTGCCACTTCGCTAGTCTTCTCCTCCGATTCCCTAAAAAGGCGGGACAAAGCGCGGCGTAAAACTGCTACGACAGAAGATATGTTATTCACCAATGGTTCTGAGAAGAATGGAAATGCAAGTGGCACCGATGTCAGTGCGAGCACCACACCAGCAGGAACCATCATAGGTGCAACACCTATTGTTGCACTGGAACGATTTGCTGTGGAACGTGTTAGCTCAGATCGCTCACTCCCAGACCGCATGTCCTCAAGTTTGGGAATGGATCGTATGACTGCCAGTTTTGAAGGAGTTTTAAGTGATGATGGTCTTCTAATGCCTCCACCATCCAGCACTCACAGAGCTGTACCTAGAGTAACATCAGCTCCTAATGCTCTTAAGTAAGTTCAGTGCAGGTATCTTAATTTATTTACTTAAAGGAGCCCTCTTCGTCTTGCCCTGTATGAATAGTGTTTAGTTGGTACTAATATACTTCTTGGAAATAACCTAATTTTATTACTCATTAACAGATATGCTTAGTTTTTGCTTAGTTATTAAATACAATACAGATATTGCCTTAAATAATATTTTGAGTGGAAGAATTTGACCCTTGGGAAGATTTCATTTCAAAATAGTAAAATTTAATGCAATTTTAGGTCTGTTTTTATTTAAGTTTATATTTTATTTTTTGGAAGCTAATGAATATCAACATTTTCTAATTAAGAAGGTTGATAATTCATTCTATGCATATCTTTTTTGTATCCTGATAGTTTTTAGTTTTGGTCTTCTGACTGTGACAGCTGTTTTAATTAATATTGTGCTTTTAAAAATATTTTTTAATTTTGTAGATCTTTGATGTTACATTGAAATTCTATGTAGTCTCTTTGTTTTTATTTTACCGATATTTGTTCCATTAGAATATCTGTTCATGTTTGTCCACAAGTGCAGTTGTGCTACTGTGGCACTCCTGCATAATAACATTGGGGTCAAGCCAGCATCACAGTGCCAACATAAAATAAAGGGCAGCAAAATTATTAGGTTGCGCCACTCATACCGAACAAAATTTAAATTGGAATTTAAGCTTCACTGTCCAAAACTAAAGATTAGTTGAATTAACCGGAGACTAACCAACAGCAGAATATCAGAGTGTACACTAACCTCTGGCTCGGCTTGGGCTGGCTTGGCTTACAGGAATCTGATGTCCTATCGACCTGACAAAGCATCACCAATTCTTAATCGCAAGTCATATGATCGACAAGATTCCACTTCTCCCCGACTGGGTAGAAGGTCCCTCACTTCTCTTAGCACCTCAAATCTAAATTATTCACGACAAAATTCTGCGTGAGTAGTTGAATAACAGTGTTACGCTGATTTTAATCCATGTGTTGTAGTACAACTTTTAGGTTCCTTACATGTTTTGCTAATTATCAATATAATATGATGTGCATTACACTGTTCTGAAGACATCATTTGATTGGTTTCAGTAAAAGTGTTGAAAATTTAAATGCTCTTCATTTTACTGCTTGTGTTAAATTAAAGCATTCAAAATAAAATGGAATATGTACATTTATTTTATTGATTTTATAGAAAACAAAGGTATAATATTTTTTAACACCACAAAATGATTATTTTAAATACAGTATTTATTTTAAACATTAATACACATTGACAGTAAATAGCATGTTAATTGACTCGTTGGCCTATCACCCTTGGAGGTATTAGCATGGGAAAGTACATGGTGCATCCTTTTACTCTATTGATGGTTCTTTTCTTTGGCTACATTCACATTAAGCACCACTTCCACATTGTCATTCACTAAATACTGTTCCCCCCCCCCCCCTCCACTCTGTCTTTTAATTTTTCCTTTAATTGTGCTGCTTTATTTCCACATTCTCTCTCCTCTATTTTCTCATGTGTATGAGTTTGCTGAGGTTAGTCCTCATTCCTGCAATCCAAGGAATTTATGACTGATTAACTTTTATAGTAATCACACTGGCATGTAGTATTCATGATAAATATTTGGTTTCTCCTTCCAGCATCTAAGACTTGCAGGTACTTCAAGTACGTACTGCATATACAGTACTGTACATAAGATACATTTATCTACCCTGTTCTATATTTTCCTTCCCATAGAAACTGAGATGAATGGTTTCTGGGACCTGATGAGCTGTTGGAGTGTGAGTAGGGTAATATATTGTGAAGGGATTCAGGGAAATCAATTAGCTGGACTTGAATCCTGGAGGTGGGAAGTACAATACCTGCACTTTAGAGGAGGGGTTTGGGATATTGGCTGTTTGGAGTTACATCTAAGCTGTTGTATCTCGACACCTCTGCAAAGACAGAAATATGGCTGGAACAAGTGTAGAAGTCTTCAAGAGGAAACTGGACAAGTATCTTCACCAGGTGCCAAATCAACCAGGTTGATGGATATTTAGGGCAGCAAACCTCCAGCAGCAACAGCCTGGTTGACCAGGCAAGCACCAGACGAGCCTGGTCCATGGCCTGGGTCCGAGAGTAGTGAGACTCTCGAAACTCATCAAAGGTATATCAAAGGTGGTGAAAGTGTTTCTTTTTTTTTGGGGGGGGGGGGGTCACCCTGCCTTGGTGAGAGACAGCTGACATGTTAAAAAAAAAAAAAAAAATGGGTAGACCAAATGTAGAACTGTGCCATATTTCCCTTCCCATAGAGCCTCCCAATGCTAGGTCACCTTAACTTGGTAGTGGAGGTGTTTAAGTGGTTTGTGCCTAGTGGTAGGGGCATCAGTATTAGGAGGAATACCACTTTGCCCACAGGGTGCGTACCTAACTGAGAACTCAGCGTCTTTCAGCATGAAAGGTGGGAATATTTTCCCTTTCATCTAAATTTGATGACACTTGCTGCCAATATGAGAGTGAATTAGTCATGACAGTAGGAAGCTGACAATGATAGTTTAAATTTGATAATGTTGGAAATAAAATGTTAGTGCTGAATAACCAAGCAATTTTAGCACTTTGTAAATAAAATAAAATAACCCTTTCCATAGAGATAGAGTAGATTCTGTTCTGTTCTACATTCGCCAGTATAATCACCCGGCCTGGGCCTTTTCCAAGAGGTGACCTGGCCTTGGCTCCCTTTTGCAGGAGTGTCTCAGATCAGTGTCTGTCATGGGAGGAGGTACTTGTACCTCCTCCCTAGGACCAACTGTCCCCAGGCCTAGCCCCATTCCCCACGGGACTTGGAGAGAGAAGCTAGGCACCTTGCGCTGCCACAAACCCCACCCACACTGGGCTCAAAGGGTGTGGCAGCAGACAATATCAGGAGGTGCAAAGGCAGCAAGCACTACAGAATCCTTTTAGTCACACCCCAGCTTTGGGCTGAAGCCCAAGCACTGGGGAAGCTCAAGAATACCTCTTGCTGTGTGTGTTGCTGCTGCTGCTGCTACTTCATTTGTCTGTTGCACTCTCTGTGGAGTAGAGCAAGTGAAGAGCACATTTTCCTTCCAACATAGATGGAGTAGACCAAACATAGAGTAGTGTTACATGTCCTTTTCCTTAAAAACTGAATTAGACTAAACAAGGCAGTGCCATGCCTTCTGTGCATCTTTATTGAAGGCACAGAGGGTCTGAGTGAATCTTATCTTCTACATCTCTGAGTGCCTTGTCATTATTTAATGTGCTCATTTGTCATGGGTAGTCTACACTCCTTGTTCACCTGCACATTCTCACAAAATGCATCTCTGCACATAATCTGGAATCACAGCATTACTGGTATTGCAGTGCTGTACTACTTTCTGAAAAATATTTCCATTTGAATTACTCATTTATTTCATAATCCTGTTTTTCATAGTCTGTCCATCAAAATTTATTCTGTCTCCTGTATATCTTAAATATTTCCTTCTCCAGCTTTTGTTTTATAGCCATCTTTTTTTTAACACGTCAGCCGTTTCCCACCGAGGCAAGGTGACCCAAAAAGAAAGAAAAATCTTTCATCATCATTCACCACTTTCACCATCACTCATACGTAATCAGTGTCTTTGCAGAAGCACTCAGATACAACAGTTTAGACGTCCCTCCAAACTGCCAATATCCTAGACCCCTCCTTTAAAGTGCAGGCATTGTACTTCTCATTTCCAGGACTCTAAGTCCAGCTAACCAGTTTCCCTGAATCCCTTCACAAAATATTATCCTGCTCACACTTCAACAGCTTGTCAGGTTCCAAAAACCATTTGTCTCCATTCACTCCTATCTAACACACTCATGCATGCTTGCTGGAAGTCCAAGCCCCTCGCCCACAAAACTTCCTTTACCCTCTCCAACTTTTTCGGGGACAACCCCTACCCCGCCTTCCTTCCCCAGTAGATTTATACGCTCTCCAAGTCATTTTACTTTGTTCCATTCTCTCTAAATTACCAAACCATCTTAACTGCCCCTCTTCAGTTCTCTGACTAATGCTTTTAGTAACAGCACATCTCCTCCTAATTTCCACACTACGAGTTCTCTGCATAATATTTACACCACACATTGCTCTTAGACACGACATTTCCACTGCCTCCAGCCGTCTCCTTGTTGCAGCATTTACAACCCATGCTTCACACCCATACAAGAGAGTTGGTACCACTATACTCTCGTACATTCCTATCTTTGCCTCCATGGATAATGTTCTTTGTCTCCACAGATACCTCAATGCACCACTTAACTTTTTTTTTTCTTCATCAGTTCTGTGGTTTACCTCATCCTTCATAAACCCATCTACTGACAAGTCAACTCCCTAGTATCTGAAAACATTCACTTCTTCCATACTCCCTCCCTCCAATGTGATATCCAATTTTTCTTTTATCTAAATTGTTTGATACCCACATCAGCTTACTTTTATCTATGTTCACTTTCAACTTTCTACCTTTACACACCCTCCCAAACTCATCCACTAACCTTTGCAACTTTTCTTTAGAATCCCCCAAAAGCACAGTATCATCAGCAAAAAGTACCTGTGTCAACTCCCATTTTGTATTTGATTCCCTATAATTTAATCCCACCCCTCTCCCCAACACTAGCATTTACTTCTTTTACAACCCCATCTATAAATATGTTAAACAACCATGTTGACAATACACATCCCTGTCTAAGACCTACTTTTACTGGGAAGTAATCTCCCTCTCTCCTACATACCCTAACCTGAGCCTCACTTTCCTCGTAAAAACTCTTTACAGCATTTAGTAACTTACTACCTATTCCATACACTGGCAACATCTGCCACATTGCTCCCCTATCCACTCTATCATGTCTTTTCTAAATCCATAAATGCAATGAAAACTTCCCTACCTTTATCTGAATATTGATCACATATATGCTTCAATGTAAACACCTGATCTACACATTCTTTACCTATTCTAAAGTCTCCTTGCTCATCTGCAGTCCTGCTTTCTGTCTTACCTCTAATTCTTTCAATAATAACCCTACCATACGCTTTAACTGGTATACTCACTAAACTTATTCCCCTATAATTTTTACAATCTCTTTTGTCCCCCTTCCCTTTATATAAAGGAACTATACATGCTCTCTGCCAATACCTGGGTACCTTCCCCTCCTTCATACATTATTAAACAAAAATACCAACCACTCCAACACTATATCTCCCTCTGCTTTTAACATTTCTGTCATGATCCCATCAGTTCACGCTGCTTTACCCCCTTTCATTCTACATAATGCCTCGCATACCTCCCTCACACTCACTTGCTCTTCTTCACTCCTGAAGAAGTTATACCTCCCTGATTCACGAAATCGTAATGACACGATTGCAAACAAACCATACCATGGACTCTCTGATGTCGGGTTCTATCCCCGTCCATGGTATGGTTTTTTTATACCTCCCTGGCCAGTGCATGAAATTACTGCCTCCCTTTTTTTCATCGACATTTAAAAGTTCCTCAAAATATTCCTGCCATCTACCCAATACCTCCAGCTCCCCATCTACTAACTCCCCTACTCTGCTTTTAACTGACAAATCCATTCATTCCCTAGGCTTTCTTAACCTGTTTATCTCACTCCAAAAATTTTTCTTAATTTCAGCAAAATTTCTTGCCAGTGCCTCTCCCACTCTTTCATCTGCTCTCCTTTTGCACTCTCTCACCACTCTCTTCACCTTTCTTTTACTCTTCATATACTCTGCTCTTCTTACAACACTTCTGCTTTGTAAAAACCTCTCAAAAGCTACCTTTTCCTCTTTTATCACACCCTTTACTTCATCATTGCACCAATCATTCCTCTTTCCTCCTGCACCCACCCTCCTATTGCCACAAACTTCTGCCCCACATTCTAATTCTGCATTTTTAAAACTATCCCATCCCTCTTCAACCCCCCCCCTTCCCCCCACTACCCATACTTGCACTAGCCCACCTTTCTGCCAATATTTGCTTATGTCTCACCCTAACTTCCTCCTCTCTTGGTTTATAAACTTTCACCATATCATTTTTTAATCTTCATTCTGAACAAAATCTATTTTTTTATTATGAACTTTGCTATATAGATGATCAAGCTCTACTGCATTCAATGTTGACTGATCTGTGCTTAGTAAGTCAAGTTTCTCATTCATACACGAGTCTTGGGATCAGTAAGCTTCATTCAAATTTCCTACACTTTTCACACTTAATGTCTTTCTGTTTACAAAGGCCCTCAAGATGCCTCATGGTTCTCTTGTCTGTTTCCTGTTTTTTCCATTGTGTTAAACATCTCTAGTGAACATTTCCTCATGTAAAAATGCAGGATTACTCTTGAAACCAGTTAGACCCTTCATCAGTCAACCCTTAATATAATGAAAGTTGGAGATGTTTTGTTTTCTCAACTCTGATAAAATTTATTCCAAACTTTAATCATAGTTATCTATTTTGTCTTAGTATAGTATTTCATTTTATATTGTGTTAACCATTAATGCTTTGTATAATTTGAGGACTGCTATTAAAAGTTTTGAAATAATTATAGTTCACATTTCAGTGTACTGCATTGTGAAAGGAAATTATTTTGTGCAGTCAAAAATTTATGAAAGTCTGGAATACATGCACAGCTTCATAAACAGGATCTGGTTGTGGATTTCTCTAGTGTGGGGCTGTCACAACCATCCTTTTGGCCATTTAATCTTGTATTTTAAATAAAGGTTACACCAAAAAGTGATGAAGTCTTTGTTGGTGTTTTCCCGTAAGTGAAGCATTGTACCAATAAACACTTCACTTCTCTATTTATCACCATTTTGTTTTGTTAAAAGATAAAATTAATCGAGTAATAAAGTCTACTTATTCTACATCGCATGTCGAGCTATTCATGTATGCTCACCAGCAAAGAGAGTTGATGAGTAACCATTTACAATGACTTTAAAACTATAATAGTATTCAAATACATTAACGCACTTTAGGTATTACTTTTAAGTTTTTAATTGCCGTAATATATAAAAGTACATTCCGTAAAAGTCTCACTTACTTGGAAACCAGTTACCTGGATATACAAATTGTCAGAAATTTGGAAATATTTACTCTTAGGTTATTTACGTAATTGAATTTAAGCTTTTTTTGTGCAATTAGTTATTCATTTGAAAGTCATTATATCATCTCTCTTTCAAATGAATCAGCTCCTACATTCACCATCACTATTAAAGATGCATCTACCATCACATGATTGCCTTCTGCACATACATTGCACTGTAAATAGTGTCTGTATTCTTCAAGACTTGTACATTTTAATGCAGTCTTTTATTAACAGATTATACGATAAATGTAATTGTTATGGTAAGTTAGGGGTTTAAGTGCAATATTCATAAAATTCTCTCTTCAGGAAGGACTTTACTCCCAAGTTTTTTGGATATGCAAGACTTAATGTTAATTATTAAAATATGAATGAGAATATCAGAGCTGGAATTTTTTTTTTTTCCAGTAAACACATTCTAATTAATGTTCCTAAACATTCAGAGGTGTTAATAAGCGCAATAACCTTATGATTGTGTAATTGTATAGAACATTTAAGGTTAAATATTTTTCCTCATGCTTTGTAATTACAATATTACTAATAATGTTTGTTGTTAAACAGAGACAATACGGAAATGACACCACCCACTTCACCAACAACGTATCGACGTTCCACATCTAGGGAAGAAAATGTTTTCTCTCGTTTAACTTCTGCCACATCCTCAAAACGAGAATCAAGACCAAATACAGGTGTCATTAACCCACATGCTGGAAGGGTTGGTATACATAAATTTTTTAATAAAACAGTTACCCAGTGAAAAACAAGCTTTATTGGATGATTTTTTTTTTTTTTTTTTTTTAAGAATTTCTGCACAAAGTGAAACATTGTCCCAGTAAAAGCTTGTTTTACAATGTGTCTTTTTTCTTCATTACATATATGGGTCTGTTAATTTTTTTATTGGAAATCAATAAAACTTTTGAAATTTAAGGAACAAACCTAAATGTTATCACTAAGATCTGAAAGTTATACTTGTTACTGTAGTAGTAAGTAAGTCAAGTACCGTATAAGGAACCTCAGGAAAAAGACTTTGAACATAATGCTCAAGATGCTAGGCTTTAAGAGACAGTGAAAGATTTTATGAGGAATATAAGAGCAGAAGGGTGTCTAGTATAAAACAAGAAAGGTTGCTTTGGAAAATTCAATAATGAATTTTGTGATGATAGAAGAAAGTGCTGAGATTGTGTTGACTACCTTTATGAAATATTTGTTATTTAGAAGTTAGGTTAGTAATCAGTCCTGTCAGTAATCATATCTGCCTTTTGTGGGACTGTTGGTTCATGTTTTGTCTGGAGTATAAGTACGAGAGGAAACTTTACAAAGTTTCAAGTGTTTTAAAGTTAATGTGTATTTTATATATACCCTTTTGTGTTACAGTGACATTTAAGGGTAGTTGTGATAAAAAGAGGAGTCATAAGTGCAAAGTTAGAAATGATTAAACTCTGTGAACAAGGTATGTCTGTGGCTGAAATATTACTGATAATTGTACCTATTGTAGGTAGTAGGTTGGTAGACAGCAACCACCCAGGGAGGTACTACTGTCCTGCCAAGTGAGTGTAAAATGGAAACCTGTAATTGTTTTACATGATCGTAGGATTGCTGGCGTCTTGTCTGTCTCATAAACATGCAAGATTTCAGGTACGTTTTGCTACTTATACTTACACTTAGGTCACACTACACATACATGTACAAGCATATATATACACGCACCCCTCTGGGTTTTCTTCTATTTTCTTTCTAGTTCTTGTTCTTGTTTATTTCCTCTTATCTCCATGGGGAAGTGGAACAGAGTTCTTCCTCAGTAAGCCATGCGTGTTGTTTGAGGCGACAAAAATGCCAGAAGCAAGAGCCTAGTAACCCCTTCTGTATAAATTACTAAATTTAAAAAGAGAAACTTTCATTTTTCTTTTTGGGCCACCCTGCCTTGGTGGGATACGGCCGGTTTGTTGAAAAAAAAAAATGTACCTATGCTAGGTAGGTTGGTAGACAGCAACTTCCCAGGGAGGTACTAACATCCTCCCAAGTGAGTGTAAAATGGAAGCCTGTAATTGTTTTACATGATGGAAGGATTGCTGGTGTCTTTTTTCTGTCTCATAAACATGCAAGGTTTCAGGTATGTCTTGCTATGTCTACTTACACTTCAGTCACACTATGCATGGTTTTCTTCTGTTTTTCTTACTAGTTCTTGTCCTTGTTTATTTCCTCTTATCTCCATTGGGAAGTGGAACAGAATTCTGCCTCCATAAGTCATGCATGTTGTAAGAGGTGACTAAAATGCTGGGAGCAAGAAGGTTAGTAACCCCTTCTGTATATATTAATAAAGTTTAAGAGAGAAACTTTTCTTTTTCTTTTTTGGGCCACCCTGCCTTGGTGGGATACAACCAGTTTGTTAAAAGGTGATATACAACGGTACCCCGAGTTTTGTACAGTTCCCAACTCGAATAATTATGTAAGTGTATTATTGTAAGTGCTTTTGTAAGTGTATTTTTGGGGGTCTGAAACGGACGAATCTAATTTACACTATTCCTTAAGGGAACAGATTCGTTCGGTAACGACACTCGAACAGCCTTCTGGAATGAATTATGGCCGAAACTTGGGGTACCACTGTATGTGTATCATGACACTTTTATTCTTTGCATGAGAGCTATTTGTTGTTTAATATAAGCAAGTGTTTAAGCTGGTCCTAAAGTTGCTGATCCTTGTTGTATGTTTCATCGTTTAACTGTTGGTGAAGTTACACTCCATATTTTTGGCATTCTTGGTGTTAGTTATATATTTTGGTATTTAAGTCTATGTTCTGTTGTCCTAAATAATTGTGAAATATGTTGAGGTGCAAATGAAACTAAAAAAAAAATGTTGTATGTTTTTGACAAAATTACTGATAAAACTTAAAATAATCAGTGCATGATTAATAAGAAACTACTGATGGTCAAAATATTGTATATAACAATTTAGTACAATCCATAATTTTATTTACAAAAAAAAAAAAAAAAATTACTTAAAATTAAGTGTGGAATTTTGCCGATAATGTAAACCATTTGTAAGATACTTGAACACATGTGCAACAAATAAAACATTTACTATAGCTATGTTTTGCTAACCAGGCTCTTTATCAAGCCTATAAAATACAGTGCATGTATTACAGTTCATTCAGGAAAGGGAATGAGATATATATACTAATGATGGGTAATGATTTAGTTTATGGTTACAAATAGATAAGATTATTATTTTTTCTCTTCTTTAGAGGGACATTTTCTCGGAAAAAAAAAAAATCGACAAAGATAGAACTGTTTCAGGATGTGCATGTAAATATATTTTCATAGCTTTAATGTATTGTTACAGGCAAGCCAGAGGTCAGTTTTAGCCTGCACACATGTTGCTCAGGGTCACTGTAAAGCTGTTTTGTCAGTTTTTGCAACAGATGACCTTCTCTTCTCAGCTTCAAAAGGTAAGATAATAAAAAAATCATTAACTCACAAACTGCAAATGAAAATTGGACGATGTTTCACTCTGTTCTGAGTCAATATCAAGAATAGCTGAACTGTCCAATTTTCTTTTTCAATTTGTGGGCTAGTTGTGAATTGTCTCACAAACTGGAAATAAGTTTTAAGGTCTATCTTTAATTTGTGAGTTGTAAACCAAACCAATGTGCAGTGAGCTTTACAAACATATGCACTAGCATTGTGGTAATCATTCCATTGTGTTTTAAATGTATTTAAAATTCAGAAGCATTCAAGATGTTTGGAACATCCTACATCCAAGTTCAAGGAAGAAAACTTCTGTACAGCACATGACATCTTAGATAAAAGAAATTTATGTTAGCAAGGATGGATTTGCATGACTGTTTATAACAATTTTTTTAAGTAAATTAAGACAAAATACTGTTTATTTTTTAACATGCAATATATTTATGTGTCTGTTTTGCAGATCGCACTGTCAAGATGTGGGATTTAGTTCGTGGACAAGAAATCCAATCACTGGGAGGTCATCCTAATAATGTTAATTGTGTTAGATATTGTGAAGCCCAACATACATGTTTCTCAGTCTCTTCTTCATTTATTAAGGTAAGATATGGGCGCTTGATAAAAAGTTTTATATTAAGATTTGGTTAGTTGAGAGAGAGCGAGTGTGTGAGGGGTGAATGAGTTTGTTTTTAAATTTACACTGGAATGTGGAGTTTGTCATAATAATACACTTATGTGTATTATGTTATTTTCTTCCCCAGTCATCCTTACATCTGCCCTTTAGTACATTTGGTAGCCCAAGTGTGATGTGTCTGTCTGCAAAGTGGGAGTTAGTACCTTCGTAACACACTAAACAATAAGTGGGGATGGTGTGTGTAAACTTATGGCAAGTTGTGGTGGTGGATGTGTTTTCTTCATTAGGATTACCTTACTTTGGTGGCAAATGACAGATGTAATAAAACAAAATTCTTTTATCTGGTTCTGTACTGTCAGTACTTATTCTAGTACTATATTGGTAGTGTGTTTCCTTCTCTTTCTCAAGTCTCCTCAGTAATGTGCTGATGTATACAATAATGAATTTATTGTTGTTTTTTTTTTTTTACCATTCCACTTACACAAGCTATTTTCATTAGTAGCTACCTGAGTACATTATGCAATCATCTCAATTTTTTCTCTCCAGTTGATTGTTAAATGCAGTAATGAATTGTTTAAGTGATATTTTTTAAGTCTTTGTTCTTACACCCCTGATTCCTTTCTTCCTTGTCACTAATGTGAATTAAAGTTATTGTAGTTAAGCTAAATTTTAGGTAATCTTTGGTATAATACTTAAAATTATGAAATATGAGTGGCAACTTCCATGTTCAAGCATTACAACCTTTGTTTCAGGTATGGGATATCCGTGAAAACCCAGCTAAATGCACCAAGACACTTAGCTCAGCAGGATTAACATCAGCTGGGTTTACACAGGTCAACACTCAGTCACGAACTTTACAGATGCCTCCAGGAGAAACATTAATTACAGATATTGCCATATCCACATCAACAAATATTCTATATTCAGCAGCTGGAAATATAGTCAGAATTTGGGACCTAAGAAAGTAAGTGATTATGTTTATGCTCTATGATAGTATTGCAGTGGCTGTGAAAGTGTAACAGCTGGCACTGTTGACATGTAATGGAGGATCTACAAGTATCTTACCTATCAAATCTAACCTAACTTGAACCTGACATAATTTTATTTGATCAGTAAACTAGATACAACTAGCCATGTGAAATTCATTGCTGTGTCAGGCATGTTCAATGAGAGAGACCACTCTTCATGTATAGTCATGGCATTGGTGTTGGCTGCTACTTCCACTGTAATGGAAGTAATCACTCATATATTTGTTACTTCTGTATTTACCTACAATAGCTCATTCCATGTTCCTATTCCTATGCTAAAGAAATGTTTCCCTGTTTATCATTGTGTGTAATTTTAAGCTAGTTTTGCTACCTTGTTTTTGCAGCAAACCCCTCCTGGAAAAGAACTTGAATTTGTCTAATTTGTCTCTACTTTTTTTTTTTTTTTTTTTTTTTTTTTTTTTTTTTTTTTTTTTTTTTAAGCACACTGACATTTTCCCACCAAAGCAAGGTGACCTAAAAAGGAAAACAAAATTTTTCTTTTTCTTTTTTTTCTTTTAACACTCCGGCCGTATCCCACCGAGGCGGGGTGGCCCAAAAGGAAAAACGAAAGTTTCTCCTTTTACATTTAGTAATATATACAGGAGAAGGGGTTACTAGCCCCTTGCTCCTGGCATTTTAGTTGCCATGTATGACATACATGGCTTACAGAGGAAGGATTCTTTTCCCACTTCCTCATGGAGATAATGAACATTTTTTATTAATATATAGGCCATTTCCCACCAAGTCAGGGTGACCCGAAAACGAAGAAACATTTCCATCATCATTCACTCCATCACTGTCTTGCCAGAGGCATGCCTACACTACAGTTAAAAAACTGCAACATCAACACCCCACCATGAAAGTGCAGGCACTATACTTCCCACCTCCAGGATTCAAGTCCGGCTTCCTGGTTTCTCTGAATCCCTTCATGAATGTTACTTTGCTCACATTCCAACAGCACGTCATCATAAAAACCATTTGTCTTCACTCCTATCAAACATGCTCACCCACTCTTGCTGGAAGTCCAGCCCCCTCTCACACAAAGCCGCCTCTACCCCCTCCCTCCAACCTTTCCTAGGCCTACCCCTACCCTGCCTTCCCTCCACTACAGATTTATACACTCTCCAAGTCATTCTTTTTCATTCCATCTTCTCCAAAATGTCTGCATCACCTCAACAACCCCTCCTCAGTCCTCTGGATAATACTTTTAGCAACCTTGCATTTGAACATCTCGTTTGTTATTCTTAGTTCCTCTGGTAACTGTAAACTTTCGTTTTTCCTTTTAGGCCACCCTGCCTCGGTGGGATACGGCCGGTTTGTTGAAAGAAAGGAAGAAGAATATTCACATCTTTATAATTGTACAACATGCCTATGTGCTATTTACCCACTACGGACTTTTATGGTAGGGAAGTTACCTAAAGAATGATTCTTGGGTTTACTGATCCCCCTACCTCTTCCCTTCACTGAAAACAGGTGTTGTATTAACCAACCACTGTATGGGTGGGGGTTGAACTCATGGCAAGTGAGTCATAAAACTCAAGGTCAGTGTGTAAGCCACTGTGACCAGCTGGCCTAGTGGCTTATGTGCTGGCCGGAGTTTTAAGACTTTATTTCTGTAAGTTCAAGCCCCACCATACAATGGTTTGTTTGCAATTGTGTTATTAAAATTTCACGAGTCAGGTGTTGTATTGTTTCCTGAGTATTTCATCCAATTTTTATCATCATTTGTGAGTTCCATCTGATGTGGTTTTGGATATGTGAAAAAGTATTTTGAGTTTATTTCAGTTTCATTACTGGGTTTTTGCTACCTCAATCTCCCCTGTGATTATGTGTGAATGAGGTGAAAGCATTGAATGATGATGAAAGTATTTTCTTTTTGGGGATTTTCTTTCTTTTTGGGTCACCCTGCCTCTGTGGGAGACGGCCGACTTGTTAAAAAAAAAAAAAATCTCTCCTGGACTTTGATTATGCATTCAGTTTAAGCTCAATGTTCTTCAGCATTAATATACTAAATTGTACTACTGTGTACTATTAATAAGATGAAATGTGTATACTAAAATTAAAAGCAGAATTTAAGTACAGTAATTTACTAACTGGTATCAGAGAACAATAAACATAGCTTGTTCAAACTTCGAGTATCCTGGAAAAGTATTGAAAATAGATATAAACTATTATGGTTGGGGATCTTGTTTAGCTTTATTAATGGCACACTTCTCTTTCAGACACACAGCAGTTGGCAAGTTAGCAGGAGGGCACCAAGCAGCGGTGATGTGTTTAGCTGTTGACTCAACTGCCCCAGGTCAAGATGTGGTTGCAACAGGATCTAAGGACCACTACATTAAGGTTACCTAAACTTTTAAATTTTAAGCATATTAGCCCACATCCACCCTAGCCATTGACCTTTACATAACCCTCCTATCTTTCACTTCTCAGTCAAATTCCCACGTTATACTCCCACTCATCCACGTCGTGACCTCTTGACCTTTTCTCCCATCCTTATTATTTCCTTCTTGCCCTCTACTGATTCACCCCCTTACACTTGCTTCCTTTTTTCCATGCCTCAAACCTCTTCTCTTCCTATTCATTTTCTCAATTTTTATTCATTCTCCATTCTTTCTCTCCCTTTCTCATTCTTCTTTCCTCCCTTCCTTCTTCCATTCTTTTTGTTATTCTTTTTTATTCCTTCCCTGGTCACTACTCTACTATTATTATTTACTTCTCTACTTCCATTATTATACATCTCCTCTCCATCACTTTTTGCTTCTGACCTTTGTCAGCCTCCTTGTCTACTCATCAGTATCCCTTCTTTTTTTCCCCCCCTCACTTCTTTTCCAGTTTCTTCCTTTTCCAACTTCCCTGTGTCCCCTCATCTTTCATTAATTTCATCTTCCCATTATTTTAAAAAGATTGGAGAAGTTTGAAGCCTGAGTTGGTTTTAAAGACTTTAAGTGAATGGTAATCCTCAGGTTTTTGACGTCTCGGCTAGCAACTCGGGCCTGCTTAATCCCAGACTGAATCTGGACCCTCCACATTATGATGGTATACAGTCACTGGCCCTGTATGGAGACACACTCTTCTCTGGCTCCAGGGACATGTGCATAAAGAAATGGGATCTGCAACGAGGTGAACATGTTCAGTCACTCAATAATGCTCACAAAGACTGGGTATGTGCACTGTGTTTCACACCAGGAGGACAGATTGTTCTTTCAGGTAATTATTAAAATGAAAACTGTATTGAAACCTTTATATATATTATTATATTCACGAGTCTTGGACTTCCAGCAAGTGTGCATGAGCGTGTTAAATAGGAGTGAATGGAGACGAATGGTTTTTGGGACCTGACGAACTGTTAGGGTGTGAGCAGGGTAATATTTAGTCAAGGGATTCAGGGAAACCAGTTATTTTTATATAGCCAGACTTGAGTCCTGGAAATGGGAAGCACAGTGCCTGCACTGTGAAGAAGGGGTTTGGGATATTGGCAGTTTGGAAGGATATATTATATATCCTTATAGTATGTGCTTCTAAACTGTTGTATTTGGGCACCTCTGCAAAAAGTGATTATGTATGAGTGAGGTAAAAGTGTTGAATGATAACGAAAGTATTTTCTTTTTGCTGATTTTCTTTCTTTTTGGGTCACCCTGCCTCGGTGGGAGACGGCCAACTTGTTGAAAAAAAAAAAATTCACGAGAACACAAATAACATCTGTATAAATTTATCTTTTCAATAATGAGAAATATGTTTCTCCCTAAAGTAGGATAAGAAAAAGCACCATGTCTTGTATAAAAAAAATTAACTATTTGAGTCTGTGCAGTGAGCATATGTTGAAATTTTTCTTTATATCCTTGTGGCTTATTTGCTGTTTAATTTAGAATTATACACCCTTGCTGGCCCTGCCTCCTAGACTACTTTGATTAGCATTTATGGTTTCTGGTCTCTAGAGTCTCAACATATTTGCTCTTGAATTTGTATTTTGAGTTTACTTCTGCCACTGCCTCATTCAACTTTTAACCATCCTGAGACTAGAGCAATATTTCTGTACATCCCTATTGTTCATCTGTATCTTCAGTTTCCTGTGTTTTATTGATACCAGTCCTATTTAATTCAGTCTTCCTCTATCTTCTCTATCATTTCCTCTTTAGATTTTGCATTTCATAATCATGGCTTTCCTTGTCCTCTCCACCAAGTTCATGAGGTTTAGTTCCATCAATCTTTCTTGGAAATATAAACACTTAAGTAGTATAATGTGATCCTTTATTGACAACGTTTTGCTCACTCAGTGGGCTTTATCAAGTCACAAACAGATCTACCTGGGTGAAACATACCTAAGTATTTATAGGATGAGAATGCTGGGTCAGGTGGAGAAAGTTGCCTGTAACAATCTTCCAAGTAGAGTGGTAGTCTAAAAACTTGGGTAGCTTTTAAGAGAGATTGGATAAGTACGTATATGGGTAGACCTTCTGCAGTGTTCCTCATTTCTTATGTTCTTATGTGGGATAGCGATGAAGTTTTTTAGCAGTGGGTTCAGCTATGTTATAGAAGCCGTTGTTCTGGTTGAAGTTGTTGGATGTACAGATAAGTGATGATTCCAGGATTCTTTGGTATTGAGTGTTGTCTTCTCTGGCAATAAGTCTTGCGTTTCTGTAGTTGATTAAATGGTTGTGTGAATTTCAGTGCTGAACTCCGGGATTCCTTGGATCATCAGATCTGCCTGCATACTGGTGTTCTGAAATACGTGTTTGGAGGTCTCTGGATGTTTTGCCAACGTATAATTTGCTAGTCATTACAAGGGATTGTGTATACCCTTGCAGAGGATTTAAGCTTGTCCTGTCTATTACTGGTAGTGTCCTTGAAAGGGGTGGATGTGGAGGTAGATACTTGGAATGAGATTTTGGAAAAGATGTTTATAATGTGTTCGGCAATGGAGTTGGTGGGGAGGACTATGTATCTCTCACGAAATCGTAATGACACGATTGCAAACAAACCATACCACGGGCGGGATTTGAACCCGCGGTCAGAGTCTCAAAACTCCAGACCGTCGTGTTAGCCACTGGACCAGCTAGCCACAATAAGATTCGTCCAACTAGGTATATTTCTACACCATGGCTAACGCGACGGTTTGGAGTTTTGAGACTCTCTGACCGTGGGTTCAAATCCCGCCCGTGGTATGGTTTATGTATCTCTTCTCGACAGTGTCTTCTCTGGGTGTGTTAAAGATGTTTACTGCCTGTCGTCTGTAGTCTCTAATAAAGTGACGTGGATAGTGAAGTTTAGAAAATACTTGCTCAATAAGAAAGTATTCTTCCTCGAGGAACTCACTGCTGCAGATTCTAAGTGTACGAAGGAAAAAGCCTATAATTGCACCACATTTAGTTTTGGTGTCGTGGTGAGAGCAGAAGTGCAGAAGATCGTGTTAGTTGGTAGGCTTTCAGTAGACTTTAAAACAAAGTTCATGGTCAGCTTTGCAGAGAAGAACATCGAGGAAAGGAAGAGTGTTGTTGACTTCTTCCACTAGTGTGAACTGGATAGAGGGCTCGACCTGGTTGAGCTTGTGTTGGAGAGCTTGAATGTTGTTGAAGCGTCTGGGAGTTATGATGAGAATGTCAACATAATGGAGCCAGGTGACAGAAGAAGGAAGAATAGTGGAGAAATGCTCAGCTTCTAGATGTTCCATATATAGGTTTGCCAGGACGGCACTAAGTGGCGAACCCATGGGTAATCCGAAAGTCTGCTGAAAGAGGTGATTTTCAAAAGAGAAACACGAACATAGTTCAACAAGATTGATGAAATCACTGGCTGGAATAGGAAGCTCAAGGGAATCGTCAATTTTCCTGCGTAAGAGATTGATGGTTTGTGTAGTAGGTACCTTGGTGAATAGGGAAGTTACGTCCAGGCTAGAGAGTTTCTTGTTCCTGATGTTGATGTTGTGAATGGGGTTGAGAAGATCACCTGAGTGTTTGAGATGTGCTGGACTGATTGTGCCCAAGAGTTTGGAGAGGTGTTTAGCGAGAATCCCTGAGAGTTGGTGAGGAGCACTGCCTATTCCCAAGGATATGGGCTTGTGAGTTTTGGGCAGGCCGTACATTCTGGCAGGTCTGGGGTTGCTGGGAATGGTGTGCAGAAGTTTCTTTCCTTGTTCTGAGTCCCACAGAATGCGGCGAGTCCTGTGAAGAAATGTTTTGGTAAGGTTGTCCACTTGTTTTGATGTGAGAGGTTTGTAGGTATCTGGGTCGTTAAGTAGATTGGGAATTTTGCTCCTGTAATCGTCATTGTTCATGATTATGACACCACCACCTTTATCAGTGGTGGTAACCCTGATGGTTGTGTATTCTGCTAAATCTTTAAGTGCAATGATGTAGTGTCGAGGTATGACTGGGGAGCTGTGTGTTGAGATGGCCGCTGAGATGATGCCTTTTTGGAAATTGGAGTCATTGTGTCTGTAATTTTTAGCAGTGAAATTAAGGTCTTGTTTCAGTTTTGGAATTCCTGTTGCAAATTTGAGGCCTAAGCTGAGGGCTTCAGTTTCTGTGGTTGACAGTGGACGAGAAGAAAGAGTTTGAATAATTTCAGGTCTTCCTAAACTTTTCCACTGACTATTATCACAGAGAGTTTGGAGTTTCCGTAACTCCCAGATGCTTCAATGTTCAAGCTCTTCAACACAAGCTCAACCAGGTCGAGCCCTCGATCCAGTTCACACTAGAGGAAGAAGTTGACAACACACTTCCTTTCCTTGATGTTCTTTCCTGCAAAGCTGACCATGAACTTCATTTGAAAGTCTGTCGAAAACCTACTAACCAACACGATCTTCTGCACTTCTAATCTCGCCAGAACACCAAAACTAAATGTGGTGTAATTATAGGCATGCACTTACAATCTGTTGCAGTGAGTTCCTTGAGGAAGACTACTCTCTTATTGAACAAGTATTTTCTAAACTTCACTATCCTTGTCACTTTATTAGAGACTGCAGACGACAGGCAGTAAACATCTTTAACACACCCAGAGAAGACACTGTCGAGAAGAGGTACGTAGTCCTCCCCACAACTCCACTGCTGAACACGTTATAAACATATTTTCCAAAACCTCATTCCAAGTATATACCTCCACATCCACCACCATCAAAGACATTACCAGTAATAAACAGGACAAGCTTCAATCCTCTGCAGGGGTATACACAATTTCTTGGAATGACTGCAGCAAATTATACGTTGACAAAACATTCAGAGACCTCCAAACCCGTATTTCAGAACACCAGTATGCAGGCAGATCTGACGATCCAAGGAATGCCTGTGTTCAACACCGAAATTCACACAACCATTTAATCAACTACAGAAACGCAAGACTTATCACCTCAGAAGACAACACTCAATACCGAAGAATCCTGGAATCATCGCTTATCTGTACGTCCAACGACTTCTATAACATAGCTGAACCCCTTGCCAAGAAACTTCTTCATTGCTATCCCACATGAGAATTTAAGAATTGAGGAACACTGCAGAAGGTCTACCTATATACTTATCCAATCTCTTTTAAAAGCTACCCAAGTTTTTAGACTCTACCACTCTACTTGGAAAATTGTCACATGCAGCTTTCTCTACCTGACCCATCATTCTCATCCTACAAATACTCATGTATGTTTCACCCAGGTAGATCTGTTTGTGACTGGATAAAGCCCACTGCATGGGCAAAACGTTGTCAGTAAAGGGTCACATTATACTGCTTAAATGTTTATATTTCCATTGTGTCGGTATTCTATACCATTTATTTTCATCAACCTTTCTTCATAGTGTATTCTTCTCAGTTCTGGTATCACACTAATAATAATAGTCTATCACTAAACGAAGGTTTACAGTGTTAGTGTTGATTGTCTAGACCTCTCATTGACCATTTGTTTGCTTTCTAGCCAAAAGCTAACCTGATTAAAACATTTTAACAATGTTTCAGGGTGCCGAGCTGGAATGATAAAAATGTGGTCTGTTGAAAGCTGCCAGCTAATTGGGGAATTACGAGCACATGCATCTCCTATCAACGCAATTACTACCAATTCAACTTGCATCTTTTCGGCTTCAAAGTAAGTGGCATAACGTGGGTTAGTCACTTCATGAAATACTATACATACATTTATGATGAAAATGATCATTAATTACAGATTTATATATTTATTAAATGGGGTTTATAGAAGCAGGTTTGTATTGGGTAATGTTATTAGAGCTTAAATATATGGGGAAGTGGGACAGAATTTTTCCTCTGTAAGCCATGCGTGTCATAAGAGGCGACTAAAATGCCAGGAGCAAGGGGCTGGTAACTCCTTCACCTGTATATTTTACTGAATTTAAAAAGAGAAACCCCACCTTGTCTCAGTGGGATACAGCTGGTTTGTTGAAAGATGAAAGAATTGCTTATATACATGTTTTGGTCAAGTATTAGATTATACATTTAGTGTAGTATGTACATTGATGTAAGTTATACTATGAATAGAAAGGTTTTGTATAGATTTAAGGTACATAATCTGTACTGTACTTATGATTCAAGTTGAGTTAATTATAACAAGTACTCGGTAATTTTGTGAAGGAACATGTATTAACCTACCTGTGAGGTGAAGTAATCTTAATTTTTATTTTAATGAAATCATAAAGCATTGTTGTTTTGGTATTTAGGGGTTTTATCTTCAATGTAGCATACATTGTTGTTAAAGTAAAAGATAGCAGAAAGGTTACTAGTAACATGTTCCTTGTTTAATTAATATTTCATATAAAATCTCGAATTAGTCTTGTAGGATAAATTTGTAGATAATATTTCTGATGATCCTAGGTAGTAGGTTGGTAGACAGCAACCGCCCAGGGAGGTACAACCGTCCTGCCAAGTGAGTGTCAAACGAAAGCCTGTAATTGTTTTACATGATGGTAGGATTGCTGGTGTCTTTTTTTTTTTCTGTCTCATAAACATGCAAGATTTCAGGTATGTCTTGCTACTTCTACTTACATTAAGGCCACACTACACATGACTGTACAAGCATATATATACACACCCTTCTGGGTTTTCTTCTATTTTTCTTACTTGTTCTTGTTTATTTCCACTTATCTCCATGGAGAAGTGAAACAGAATTCTTCCTCTGTAAGCCATGCGTGTCATAAGAGGCAATTAAAATGCCAGGAGCAAGGGGCTAGTAACCTCCTCTCTATATATATTACTAAATGTAAAAGGAGAAACTTTCATTTTTTCTTTTGGGCCACCCCGCTTCGGTGGGATATGGCTGGTGCGTTGAAAGAAGAAAGAAAGATTTCTGATAATATATACAGAAAATTAATAGAATAGTTGTGATAATAGTAATATTAAAAATTATTACAGTTTAGTCTTCTTTGCATGTAGTGTCAGATGGGAATTGTTGAAATTTATTTGGTGGTAGGAAACATTAAAAGTTGAGGCAGTTTTAATTGTGGATATAATAAGAGTTTGGGAGAGGGAATACTGTATTTTATATTCTAGGAGGAATATTTTTTTTTATATAATCGAGGGGAAGCTCTAAATCCATGGAGAGACTAATACAGTTCCTGGGGAATGAGAAGCAATCAGGTTTAATCCAAGGAAGTGGAGGACAGTCTCAGTTATTTTAATTAAGACTTGTTTTTCATTTTTTCTAGACTTGTAGTCTAGGCGATGCAAGTTTGTAAAATTTGATGATTATTATGTACTTTAATATTATTTAGTAAGCTGTTCTTTGTGTTGAGTCCTATTTGTATCTGTGTTATGCACATGAGATCTATTGCAGCTTTCTAAATCTGTCTGGTGTGAAGGTTAGGAAAGTAGATCAAGATTCAGAAGATACACGTATACAGTTTCAACTATTTGTACATATGAAGGCTTGTATATACAGTATATTATTAAGGGTTGCATGTGTTATCTGAAGTTAGGCTTGTTCTAATTCCTAGATGAATTATTTTTAAATGACTACCAATCCTACCTCTCTTAATTATTTAGTATCTTCTTTCCTATTTACTCTGTTCTGTAAAAGAAAAGACTTTTTAGGATGTTAGGTCCTTTGTCTCCAAAGCGAAAAAAGTACAAGCACCTCAAATTTACATATCTGAGGATGAAGCATAAAGTGCTGTTATCAAGGTATTTGTTTCAGAAAATTTGAATCCATGTAACAGTGAAGAATGTTGTAAGACTTTATAAGATTTCTGTATTGACCATCCTTTTAAAATAATTTGCAGTCCCAGATTCATTTTTATTGAAAATTCATAATTCCATTTTATTAGTTTATGTTGCAGATTTATTAAAGCACAGTTTTGTACTCAGAACTAAATGACTTTTATAATTTTCAAAGAAAATTATATTTTAGGACATATCTGAAATACTTAAACATCATAATGTATGCACAAATACTATTTCAGAGGCAATTAATTTTTTTCCTTATTTTCATACTACAGTATGAAACAGGATGGGATGCTTTAGAGGAATTTGCCTTTTTCAACTTTGGGGAGGCGACAGTTCTCTCTTACTCTTCACTCTGCTGTTTATCTACTTTTTAATTTTGCTCTATCTTGCTACCCCCATCAGTGAGGGAGACATTCGGGTGTGGAGACCCTTAGTGGGTGTAGCTGCTGGCCGAACTTTTGAACTTTCACTCTGAGCTTCAGCGTGGAAAAGTGAAGTAATTTCTCAGTGTGCATGAAAAGTGTGAAAAATACATATTAGCTTTGAACATTGTTTATGTATACTCCCTTTAGTGCAATGGCTACATTTTATCTTTCCTAAATATTTTGCCTTATCTGTCTTGTACATTATTTTCTATTTGTTCTTAACACAAGTATCAGGTTATTCAAGCCAGTTAGAGTAATGAAAGTGTCTCCAAAATAAACTTAGAGATAAGAAATAGTGTAGTAAGTATTTTCATGTACTACATATATAATTATAGCCTTTAATTGTCATACTGTATATTTGTGTATTGAGAATTTTCAAATACCCTTCTTGTGTTTGCGTAGCCAACTCCTCAGTTGTTGTCCTGCTCGGTGGAAAGTATGCCTTGCTTGTTTCATTTTCATATTAGCATTTGTTTCTGTGCATTTTGTTTTAACAGTACTCGAGTGATCTGTGGTAGTGAAACAAAGCAGATAATTATTATCTTCACATATTAAAAGTGTAGTGTTATTTTAATAGTAAATGGATTATCCAAGACATTTCTACTCTTTATTAACATAGTAGGTTACATATATATTTTGCTTTTAAATTAACATACTTCTTTAACATGAATGTATCAAAAATGATAGTTTTAGTTGTATAAATTGTATTACTTTGTTAAACTTTATTATTTTAATGTAATAAGTATTTACCAGTACATGTATTAAGTACACTGTTAAAAGCAGGTGGGATGTAGTGGTTGGTGTCATTGTTCAGTATATACATGAATGAAGGAAAGGAGACAAGAGAGAATGTAAGGATTATGGGAAAATAAGCCTGCTAAGATTCCCAGGTAATGCTTATGGTAGAATTATTACTGAGAGGGTTAGGGGTAAGACAAAAAAAACAGGATTGCAGAGGAGCAGGGACACTTACGAAGGTTAGAGGATGTATAGACTAAATGTTTCTTTGGAAACTTAAGTGAGCTGTACTTGAATAAGAGTAATGAGCTGTTAGTAGTCTGGGGAGGTACTGCAGTCAGAGATACCAAGTGACTTTTCCTCAGAGGCACTAGCTTGAGCAGTAACTCCTTCAAACTCAGCTCGTAGTACAGGCTCTGTATCATTAACTGAGGTAGTCATCATCTCATTTTCTGTGAGGGGAAAAAAATATATTTTCGATATACATTCACACAAATAACCCGCACATTTTACAAAGTCACACTAACAGAAAAGAGAGATAGAGCCAGTATATATAAGCCAGCTGGCAGGGATGGGACAATAGAGGTAGGAGTAGCAGTAGTAGTAGTAGTGGTGGTGGTGGTGTAAAGTAGAAAGAGTGGTTGGTGGGACAAGGATAGAAAGGGGAGTGAAAGGAGGCAAAAGCGAAGGTAAGAGCCAAAGGCAGTAAGAAAGGTAGTAGTAGTAACAGAGGTAGTGGGGTCAGTTAAAGGCCATGAAAGAGGAGCACTACAGGAGAGCTAAGGTCCCACAAGGAGTAAGACCAAAAACACGGGTGGGGGGGGGGGGGGGGCAGTGAAGGGTAGATCACTCAAGGCATATGAAAGGAAACCCAAAATAAGAAAAAGGAAAAAAAAAATAGAAGAGAAGAGACAGACAGAGAGAGAGAGAGAGAGAAAACAAAAAGAAAAAAAAAAAGAAAAGTAAGAAAGAATCAGTTTAATTCACATGTGTTCTGAAGTTTGGAGCCTATTTTAATGTAATGGGAAAGGAAGGTATCTACAGAGACAAAGCTAGGACCAAGATTTATATGAAGAAAATTGTGGCCAAATTACCAATTTCTGATCACTTTATTGGGTAGTTGAAATAGGTAAATGGGTGGTTTCTTGTACTCATTCAATAGAATGGAAGGAATACCAGCAAAATAGCTATGAGTTTGGTCAACTGGAACAATGGAATTGGCTGAAAATAGGGCTCAAAGTGGGCAAAATCACCAGTGCGCAAATATCACCATGACCTCTTAACTTTGCAGGAGTGTAATTCTGTAAATTTTCCATCAAATTTCATACTTTTGGTTTCACTACCTTCAGAAGAAGATTCTGTCATTTCATAACTTTTTAAATTCTTCGACCCCGAGAACAAGTTTGAGATCAGGGGTCTTGACCTTGAAAGGGTTAAATTGCAGGCATTGTGCTTCCCACCTCCAGGACTCAAGTCTGACTAACCAGTTTCATGCACTTTAAAGGAGGGGTTTGGGGTATTTGCTGTTTGGAATGACATCTGAACTGTCATATTTGCACGTCCTCTGCAAAGACATTGATTGTGAGTGAATGATGGTGAAAGTGTTTCTTTTTGGACTACCCTGCCTCAGTGGGAGACGGCTGGCGTGTTGAAAAAAAAAGAATGCGTATATGTATGTATCTTTCTCTGTAAGCCATGTTTGTCGTAAGAGTCAACTAAAATGCCAGGAACAAGGAACTAGTTAACCCCTTCTAATTTCGTTTTTTGTTTTAGATCACCCTGCCTTGGTTGAATATAGTTGGCGTGGTAAAAAGAAAAAGATCTTTATCTTTTATTATTGTATAGTTTTACTGAAATTGTATTGTGCTTTGCATGCATGAGAGCCATAACCTGCATCTATAGTGCCCCCAAAATTCATTTCAATCAACATTTTATGATTTTTAAACATGTTCATCTACCTATTTTCACTTTCTTGGATCCATAACAACCTGCATCTACAGTGTCTCAAAATGTTGTTATAGTCAAGTTTTTGTAATAGATTGTTAAATTATTTAAGATTTTAGTCATGTTCATGTACTCATTCAGATTTTATTTAACCCTTAAACGGTCCAAACAGATCGACGTTCAAATTCGTAGTGCTACAAAAGTAGATCTACTTTTTTTTACATATTTTCAAATATAACAAAAAACAAATGTAGATTAAAGTTTTTTTTACACATTTTCACATGTAAAACAAAAAAAAAGGATCTACATTTTTTTACTACTTTCAGATGTTGAAAAAACGTATACTATATACGTTTGGACCATTTAAGGATTAATACAACAAAGTTTATGGTTATTAGTGCAATTTATAATAAAGGTAAAGAGACCTTTTATAATTTCAACCGCATTATTTTTTCTAGTACATTTTTAACCCTTCAGCTGTTCAAACGTAGATCTACGTTTGGATAGTTTAAGAGTTAATGAAGGGAATTTACAAATGTGTATACCTCTTGCTTTTTGGAAGATATATAGCCAATGATTTTACAGCAGGAATGTAAATAAAGTAGGGCCTCGACTTACTATATTCTTACATGTTTTGTTTCAGATTACAGAATTGGCACCTTGGAACCACTTAATTATTTACTAATAAGTGTCTTTCACTTCCCACAGTGAAATGGCCATATTTACTGATTTTCTTAAGGATGAATTGTAAATATTTTTCTCAGTTAGATTTTACTAAACATTCCTATTTTGCATATGTTTATTGTATACATATATAGAAAGCTAACATTTGTTTGGTAAGGATTGGTCAAACAGCATATTCATATTTTGTGTATGTATAAAGCATTCAGATTTTTTGGTAGAGATTGGGGAAAGAACTAAGATTCACTATTATGTTGTTTAATATGTCAGTGGTTAGCTGGGGAAAAGATGTGGTTGATTGGTTAAAATCCCAGTCCTCCTCCAAGGAAGGAAAACTGGAATACAGTATGGGATTTCAAGACATTAGTATATAGGTGATCTTTGCAGTAGATGTGTGCCAGTCTCATGGTGCTTATAGCAGAATTGTGTAGCAGCCCAATACTGTACAGCATGTAACATATAGGCATGTGTTCAAAGAGCAAAACAAAAAATTCCAGACATCTTGACTGATTTTTTAATAAACAAGAAGGGTACACATATCCACAAAATAGTCATAAACAAATAAATTCCTAAATATCAGCAGAGATAAACAAAAAGCTGATTTTACCATCTATGAATCTTGCAAGGTGCACAGTGTCTGCTCTCATTTACATTATGCAAACCACTCTATTTACAAGTGAATTATTGTCACACAAGTGTTGATTTCAGAAACTTAAGCCTCACATTATACAAGATTTCATTATATACTCAAAATAGAATAATTTTCTGCTTTAATGTTCAGCTCTAATACTACCAGTTGTCTCATTTTCAGTTTTAAAATTACTTCTAAATCTTTGTTTATGTGTGTGTAATAATAGCTGGTTCTCTTTGCAGTGACTGCACAATTGGCATGTGGAGAATGAGAACAAGTTATGATGTTTCTCCAGAGTTGTCAGATGCTTCATGACCTCGTATTACTTCCCAAAACTGAATGTATGAATGTTTTATTATGAGTTTTTAATTCAGCATTTTCAAGGAAATAATATTTTAAAAGGAATATTTTATCATTACAGTAATTTTGTTTCTGGGGGAAGCACATGAAAGTTGAATTATGACAAACAGCTGTACCCAAATAAGTTTTGGATCTTGAAATCTTCTTTTTCAAAAAACTGGTCGTATCGCACCAAAAATTCCATTTTTATATTACAATAGATACCAAAATTTTTTAAAATTCTGACTATGTAAAACTTACATTATCATTATTTTTAACCAATTCCTTTGGATATTGAAGTACATCTTTGTTTGAATTCCTAAATTTTTTACTATGCAAATAAAAGTTAACTTTCATCACTGGAATACAATTTTAAACAATTACAATCCTTAATTAAATAGGAATTTTAATCCATTTTAGAAATATATACAGTATTATGTATCTAGTTCAGTGGTCATGCTAGTAGTAAGGCTGTGAAATTTTCCCATCTGTGAAGTCACATCATATAGAATACACAAAGATTGAAAAAATATTTTATTTTAAAAGTCATGAAAAAATATTAGTATCGCAAACAAATTTAAAAATATTTTTTTTACGTAATTCAAAGTGAAGCTTGTGGTAATTGTCGTTAAGACAGAACATGCTTTATATAGGCCGAGTATCAAAAAGTGTGTGTGTAATATATATATATACATACATAGTGTAACCTTGGTATGTGACCTTAATTCATTCCAGAAGGCTGTTTGAGTATCGAACAAGTTCTTCACAACCAATTTTCTGTTTGGTTGGCTGTTATCATTAATCATCTTAGGCCCCATGGTGACTTATACAAATAATACAAAAAAATGCAAAGAAACACGAAATAGTTTACAGCGAAGTTCTGGCAGGTCATATTTGTTTGGTGGAGTGCTGAGCTTTGTTCGAGTAGGGAGCTGGTCGTATACCAAGGTTCCACTGTATATGTATATACATACATATATATATTATATTCCAACACTTATGTAGGGAATTTACAACTGGTCAAAATGAGTTATGACTTGTAATACTGTACCAACTTTACAGAAAATATGATGGCATTTATTTATTTTACAAAGCCAATATGTTTTATGGAAAACACTTAACTAAAATAACCAGTATCATGCAGATGGCATTATGCAAATTTCTAGCAGTTTCATTCACAAGTGGCAATTAATTAAATTTTTTTGGTAGTGCACTACACCTATTGTAGCTACTTTTATAAATTAGCACTAGTGTTTTTTGTTGCATGCAGGCCTTCACTAAGTGATCTATGAGAACTGCATTACATCAACATTCTGTCTTTGCCATTCCATTATTTGAGTCGCAGATTGTGAGCCCTTATGTAGAAATGGGTTTTGAAGTATGGCAGTTTTGATCACACAATACTTCTAGAGTACATGATATAACTTTCTAATATTTAGTACAGAAAATCCAGAAATAAACTTTTAAAGTCTTTCGTAGTGACCATCAATTGCTCAGACTGATAGAAATAAAAGTCATTAATACAAGTAATCTGAGTCTTTTGCACTGATATAAATTAGGGTCTGTTGATATCCATTTGAAAATGAACTTAGTGGGCATAAAATATTTCATTATTTACCCACAATTTAGAAAGAAATCTCAAACACACCATTATCAACTAGTGACCTGATTGCCAGTCGTGATTTAATACTGATACAGAATGCTGAAATGTCTTTTAGGTTTCTTCTTCAAATTGTGGGGTAATAGTGAAGTATTTCAACCATGGTATTGTGACAGTTATTCTTCTAGACATAAAATATATTGTATTATGAAATAGTGATCATTCTACCATTCATCACAGTCATTCTTTTATTGGTACCTGTCAGGATCATGTTTATTATGGTACCTGCCAGGACTTTTTTTTTTTATGGATGATGGATGTTTTAGCATTAATCCTCCCATTTTAAGGTACAAAGAACCATATTGGTAATTTGTATTTTTATTATTGTACATCTGTAATTATTTTATTTTGTAAATAGATTATTTAATTTATCTGCTTTAATTGGAAAATGTTTGAAAAGGACTGTTCACAAATGGAATAAATTTTTGTATGTGAAAGGAGTGTTTACACTCAGCATTTTATGTTTAAGCTTTACTACTGCAAAGTAATCATAATATTGGAAATTAACTTTTATTTTTTCTTCTAATTCAGCCAATCTAGCATGTGAAGTTTGTGTATGCAAGTTTAGTAACTGAAGCTTAGCCTCAGTTTATCAACATACAATACTGTGAGCAAAACTGTACACAGTACTGTGATAGCATTATGTGCTGTGTTATAGTTAGTTATATTTCTGCAGTTATGTAAATTTGTACTCGATACAAATAACTGCATCAGTATTTAAATCTTAGATTTGCAAAGTAAGGAATATAAAATTGGCCCTGGTTTTTTACCATAAGTTCCTGTGATCTTTACTCAAAATACATCATTATAATGATGTATTGAGTAAAGATGTGCCTTAATATAATAAAACATTCCTTCAGGTAAATTCTCAAATGAAAAATTAAATAAAGTATTCAAGTTTATGAAGAAAATGATAGTGAGGAATTCATAATTTCAAACTGCTTGTAGTTATCAAATAATTTAGAGTTCACCTGTGATACTTAAGAAATGCTTTTCACCTTGTTAATGCAGTGTGATGATTGCTTTTTATGGAATAGTGTTTGTATTTAAGGCTTAGATATCATAAATGTTATACTATTCATTTATTCATAGATACTTTGTGAGGAGATTAATGGATATGTATGAATAACCTTGGTTGAAAATTTATTTCATACAAGCATAATCATAACAAGATGACTATAATTTTGTCATAAATGACTACCAGTAATATATTTATAATTAATGCATACTGAAATTAAATTTCTAATATATGGGCCATCTCCCACAAAGGTAGGGTTACACCTCCCCCCCCCCACCCAAAAAAAAAATATATATACATAAATAAAAAAAACAAAACAGGAAGAGCATTAGCACATTCACCATTATTCATTCAACTGCTGTCTTGCCAGAAACATACTGATATCACAGTTCTGTTGACCCTCCAAATGGCAATATCCTCACCCCTGTGCTTCTCACCTCCAGGACTCGAGTCCAGCTAACTGGTTTCCTTGAATCCCTTCATAATTGTTACCCTGCTCACACTCCAGCAGCACATCAAGTCATAGAAAAAACATGTCTATATGTATGTGCACATACACACGAGTCAGTAGATGAATTTTTATTTTTTTATATTTTATTGAGAGCATATCTTGTACAGACATAATACATATATATAGTATAACACTCTTGAGAATTGAACCATAGTCCATGCAGGTAGCAGAGCCAGCTATAGTTTGAGTCCCCATCCATAAAATGCATATCATGGCTTTCTTTTAAATGAATTTTGCATTGAACACTTCTAGTGCAGTCTTACAAATAGTTGTATATGACAACTATGAAGTGAAATCCCAGATATATGAAGAGAAACAGTACATAATGGAAAAACAAGAAGTGCAGTCTAATGCAATCCTTCATTGACAATGTTAGCCCACACAGTATACTTCATCAAGTCACCAACAGTTCTACTCAGAGAGAGAGGATGAGCATATAGGGAAAATACCGAAGTAGTGGGTAGCTTAGGCCCACTGTGAGGGTGAAATGTCAATAAAGGATTGGAGTTAGCATCAATGCATGGATCCTGGTAGGTTAGCACTTGTTTTTTATGATCTTTATATACTGCAAGATTTGAACTAGTTACCTGCACTGTATAATGCTGTAGAACATTATTAATGCCCAATTGTAGTCAGGAAAATGGTTTGAAGGTTTATCCTTATAGAAACAGGCTCCAGAGGTACACTATGGGAAAAAGGTCTTGGTAACATTACATAGCACTTAGGTCCCATCACATGTAATGGAAATGATGTACAGAAGTCTAGAATAATAGGTTCCCTCTCCCCTTCTATGGATCACTCTTGATTGCCTCTCATTCTTCAGGTGCTGAATGATTCCTGTGGGATTAAAACTTCCCCTAAATACAAGCATTGCAAATCTTTATGACCTATATGGATTTGGCACATTAAATAATTAACAGCAGTTTTGACATTAAAGATGTAATGTATATACAGGGAAGGGTGTGGGTGAATTTGAGTAAAACAGCTAGGATATAACCAACTGTGTAGGATATTTATTTTTTAAGCGAGCCTCATTGTGCAAAGGCACTGCAGATATGTATTTTCTATGCTAAACTGTCCTACCAATAACAGAAGTTGTTGCAAGATTTGGTTACTGTAGATTAACAAATGTGAAAGATTTCAAGGTTAAATTAAGGGTCGGTATGTTAGGATTGATATGTATAAGTACTTGTGGACTTTTGTGGGAGAAAGTAAAACCAACTTGGTACATCTGTGAAACAATTTACAGCATGTTACTAGATTATTATTATTATAATCAAAGGGGAAGCGCTAAACCCGGCAGATTATACAGCGCCTGGGGGGGGATGTGGAAGGCATTCAGGCTTAATTCGGGGAACTGGAGCACAGATCCAATTCCCTAAATCAAGAGCCCCTCACCAACATCAAGGAACCTTCCTTGAGGGGAGCATGTTACTAGAAAAGTTATGGTCATACAGGTACCAAGATATCCCACTTCCTGATGTTCAGGGGAACAAGCAGGCAGACTCATTGCAAGGTCAGCAGTACATGACCTTCCAGTTTCATATAGAGGTATTCTGACTACAGTGGACCCTCAACCAACGATATTAATCCGTTCCTGAGAGCTCATCGTTAGTCGAAATTATCGTTAGTCGACTTAATTTTCCCTATAAGAAATAGTGGAAATCAAATTAATCCGTTCCTGACACCCCAAAGTATTGAAAAAAAAAATTTTTACCACATGAAATATTAATTTTAATACACACAAACTGAAGAGGACATGTACAGTTACATGACACTTACCTTTATTGAAGATCTGGTGATGATTGATGGGATGGGAGGAGGGGAGTGTGTGGATGGTGTTAGTGTTTAGAAGGGGAATCCCCTTCCATTAGGACTTGAGGTGTCAAGTCCTTTTCCAGGGTTGCTTCCCTTCTTTTAATGCCACTAGGACCAGCTTGAGAGTCACTGGACCTCTGTACCTCCCGTTCCTTTACGATTTGTCTAAAATGGGCCACAACATTGTCATTGTAATAGTCACCAGCATGGCTTGCAATAGCTGTGTTAGGGTGATTTTCATCCATAAAGGTTTGCAGTTCAACCCACTTTGCACACATTTCCTTAATCTTTGAAGTAGGCACAATGGATTCCACAACTGGCATAGGCATTTCAGGGTTAGCCCCAAACCCTTCAAAATCTTTCTTAATTTCCATACTAATTCTCACCCTTTTTATCACAGGGATGGCACTAGAAGCTTTCTTGGGGCCCATGGTGACTTATTTTGCAGGTGCAATCACTAAAAACGCTGTGATAATATGAAATGTTCCGATTGTATGTATGGATGCGACTGCAGTGGCTGGCTTGTAAACACTGCACGGGCCACACACGGACGCATCTCAAACGGAACGAATCGCGTTGGTCGAGTTTTTTAGCGCTAGTCGAGGCAAAAATTTTGCGTTAAAATATATCGCTAGTCAGATTTAACGTTATACGATGCCATCGTTGGTCGAGGGTCCACTGTATTTTGCTGTAATCTCTAGCCACCTTCACAATCATTGGCAACAACATTTGTCCGAGTCGATTCATAAACAAATTACATTCTATCAAGGCAAGTTGAGGATCCTGGTCTTATCACTGAAATCATGGTTGGAGGACTACACTTTCTCACATCGGGCACACACGTCTCACTCATGGGCATCTCATGGAGAGGTGCCCAGATCCACTCTGATAATTGTCAGGTTCCAATTTCAGTTTGCCATATTCTACTGACTGTCCTACTTACCAGGAAGCACAGAATTTACCACTGACGTCATCACTGCTCTAACCCCAGTACTTTATCTTCCCTCCTTGCTGACAGCCCTACCTCTGACATAGATTTCCTCTACTTTTCGACAGCAACAGATTTATTAAACAACCTTCAACACTCCCTACTGCCCTTACTAACTCTACCTCCATTATACTCTCCACCCTTGCTACTTTCAGATCAAGCATGTTCCACAGTTTGCACACCCTACCCTTCAGTGCTGTATGACCCTTGTGAGTTTGGCACTTATTTCTGATTATAATAATAATCTCGCTTCCTCCTCCTAAATTTCTTATTTATCCATTCTTAAAAAAAAAAAAAAAAAAAAAAGTAGCTAGAGATGCATTTTTAACCCTTTCAGGGTCCAGAGGCCAAACTTCAAAGTGTGCACCAGGGTCCAAGAATTTTCAAAAAATAATTTTATTTTTTCTTACGAAATGGTAGAGAATCTTTTTCTGAAGGTAATAAAACAAAAAGTACGAAATTTGATAGAAAATTGACGAAATTATGCTCTCGCAAATTTTAATGTGTCAGCGATATTTACGCATTGGCGATTTTGCCTCCCATTTTAGGCCAATTACATTATTCCAGTCGACCAAATTCTTAGCTATTTCACTAGTATTACTTGTATTCTATCGATTGAACACACGAAATATCCATGTCAACTGTTTCAACTACAAAATAAAGTGATCAGAAATTGGTAATTCGGCCAATTTAATGCAAAGTTCAAAATATTCTAATTTCAAAATAGGGTCCAGAACAAACAATACAGGCATTCCTGACACTAAACTAGCATTTTCTCTGTTTTAGTTACATTTTCAGGATTTACTGTTATGAAATATTGTAATAATTGAATAAATAACATCACCACATTTATGAACGTATATTAGACCCACCAGCTGGTGTGTATTAGACGTGTGAGGTAATTTGTTTACTCTCGAACATTGGCAAAAATATAACATTTCGGTTACTTCGAGTTGTTTCAAACCATTTTCAGTACTAAAACTAATCAAAATCATCTCTATTTCTGTAATATATCTTTCATTCTATCAAATGAGACCAAGAAATCGCAAATACAACTATAAAAACATACAAAAAAACACTGCAAAGTCGCTGTTTTAATCGA